ATTAGTCCAACACTCGGCAGCCATGATACTAACAGGAGCGGAGCGCAGGGAGCATACAACTCCTCTGCTGCACCAGCTCCACTGGCTGCCGATCTGTTACCGGGCTCAATTCAAAGTGCTGGCGTTGGCCTTTAAAGCCCTAAACGGTTCTGGCCCAACTTACCTATCCGAACGTATCTCGGCCTATCAGCCCGCCAGGACCCTAAGATCTTCTGGGGAGGCCCTGCTCTCTATCCCGCCTGCTTCACAGGTGCGGCTGGCGGGGACGAGAGACAGGGCCTTTTCTGTGGTGGCCCCGCGGCTATGGAACGCCCTCCCCATGGAGGTAAGATCAGCCCCCTCATTGATGGTTTTCCGGAAAAGACTAAAAACCTGGATGTTCGAGCAGGCGTTCGGTTAACTCAGTGCAATAAGTGTAATGATTGAAGGACTGGCAATTTGGACGACGAAACTGGATCGCGATTTTAGTCAAGAGATGAATTGGATTGTTTATTGATATATGTATTGTGGATTGTGTTTTTATGCTTTTAAACTGTATACTGTTGTTTGTTATAAGTTGTTGTAAACCGCGTTGAGTCGCCGGCTAGGCTGAGAAACGGCGGTATACAAGTATAGCAAATAAATAAATAAATAACGAGTCAGACCGAGCACAGCTGTGTCTCTATCTAAGGGCATTCGATGCCGCAAAAATATATCTCTTTGCATCCAACCCAGTGTCCACAAAGAACTGTTCAACAGAGCTGTTCTGAATGGTCAGAGGTTTGTTAAACCCCACCTCAAAAGATGAGATCCCTGACCATTCGGTAGCCCGCTATGAAGCATTAGCTCAGTTTTTTGCAGACAAATTCGCTCTGATCTGCTCAGATCTGGACACCATGTTAATGGCAGTCTCTGAGGATGTAACATGAGCACCTGCTTGTCCGGTTTTGATGGATTCACTTCAAGTGGTGCAGCTCAAGGATGTGGACAAGATCCTTGGAGAAGTGAGGCCAACCACATGAATCCGAGATCCCTCCCATCCTGGCTGATAGAAGAAGCCAGAGGGTGTTTGGCAAAATAGGTGAAGGTGGTGGTTAACGCCTCCCTTTGGGAAGGCAATATTCCAGCCAGCTTAAAAGAATCTGCAATAAAACTGCTGTTGAAAAAAAAAATCAATGGACTCCACTCAATTGAACAACTATTGGCCAGTTTCCAATTTCCCCTTCTTGAGCAAAGTCATGGAATGTGTGGTGGCCTCACAACTCCAGATGTTCTTGGAGGAAACTGATTATCTGGATCCATCGCAGTCTAGCTTTAGACAGGGCATGGAACTGAAACAGCCTTGGTTGTCTTAGTGGATGATCTACGCCAGGAACTGGACAGAGAGAGTGTGTCCCTGTTGGTTCTACCCGACCTCTCGGCGGCCTTCAATACTGTTGACCATGGTATCCTTCTGGGACGCCTCACAGGAATGAGTCTTAGAGGTACTGTTTTGCAGTGGCTCCAGTCCTTCCAGGAGGATCGTTCCCAGAAGGTGTTGTTGAGGGACACCTGCTTGGCCTCACAACCATTGTCTTGTGGCGTCCCACAGGGCTCAGTACTGTCCCCCATGTTGTTTAACATCTACATGAAGCCATTGGAAGAGATCATCCAGAGTTTTGAAGTTAAATGTTATCTGTCCACAGATGAAGTTCAACTTTGTTACTCCTTTTCACCTGCTACTAAGGAGGCTGTTCAGGTCCAGAACCAGTGCTTGGTACCTGTGATGGTCTGGATGAGGGCAAACAAATTGAAATTGAATCCAGACAAGACAGAGGCACTCCTGGTCAGTTGCAAAGCTGAACAGGGTATAGGGTTACAGCCTGTGCTGGACCGAGTTACACTCCCTCTGAAGACACAGGTTCGCAGCTTGGGAGTTCTCTTGGATTCATCGCCGAGTCAGTAAGCTGTTAGGAATTTTGGAAGTTAGAGTCCAAAACACACGGAAAGCCAAAGTTGGCCCATGGATGGTTTAAAGGCAGCGCTTTATCTCTGCAACTCCAAGAACCTACTTGATTGGAAAAGACTAATCTCCAATAGTCCAATAACATTTCCAAGTGCTCCCTATACACAGACCCTTGAGTCATTTATCCCTACATCTCCATCCTTTCCAGATAGAGGACCTACTTCCAGCCCCATCATACTCTTATATTATCCAATTCTTGAAAAATTTACCATACATTTTCATGGTGGTAGAGCTGCTACTGTGACCCATCTTAGGTTCAAGGTGCAATTCAACCCACTAACTGAAGAGCATTGCCTGGCTGGTTATCCATTCAATGTTCTCGCCCACTTTATAGAAATATATATCAGTACCTTACACATGTATTCTAGTATGAAACAATGTAAAACTATAAAAGTTTTCTTTTTAAGAAATCACTATAGAAAATGACTAGTACTGAGTCTGGGTAAAAGATCTCTAGCTCTGTCTGGACCTAGAATCCTAATAGTTCTTTGCAAATCTTGGAGAAGTTACTTAAGTGATTTAAACATTCAATAGAGAACCAAATAAACTGGTTTGGAAGAGAAGAAAAAGATACACACTGTATCACAGAGAGTAACAAATATAGTAACAGTTGTAAATACATTTTTCCTGAAATGAAATGTATATGCTTTCCAATATGAACTACTTATTAGCAATTTTAAAGCCAGTTCTCTTTGGGTTACCTGGGCAGTGGAATTTTGTGGGTTGCCTATCAGATTTTTAAAGGTGCGCATCGACAACCATTTGAGCTGATGAATAAAGGGTGTGGAGTATGGAATCTCTTTATAAACTTCACCCTTTTGGGTGACTTCAAAGGACAGCTGATCCAGGTCTTCTCTCATCATCTTGTAGTAATCACATTTGGAAAACTTCATAGTCAGTATTTCTGCAATGGTATCCTGGTCTTCTATGGTCCTATCAATCTCTGTTTCAGATGCCAAAGAACATTTGAGTTATGACAACGTAAGTAAGCTGTAGACAAAATGTATCTCTTAGTCTGTATATCTCAATGCTTTTAGACTGAGGAATGCCTTGTGGGGCCCAGATACCCTAAAGCCGTGTTTCTCAACCTTCCTAATTCCATGACCCTTTAATACAGTTCCTCAGGTTTTGGTGACCCCAAACAGTTGCTGCTTCAGAATTGCTATGAATCGTAATGTAAATATTTGATATGTAGGATTCACAAATACCTGATACGCCTAAATTTGAATACTGGTGTGGTTGGAGGAGGATTGATTTTGTCATTTGGGAGTTGTGGTTGCTGGGATTTTTAGTTCACCTACAATCAAATAACTTTCTGAACTCCACCAATGATGGAATTGAACCAAACTTGGCACACAGAACTCCCATGACCAACAGAAAAGACTGAAAGGGTTTGGTGGACATTGACGTTGAGTTTTGGAGTTGTAGCTCACCTATATCAAGAGAGCACTGTGGACTCAAACAATAATGGATCTGGTCCAAACTTGGCACAAATCCTCAATATGCCCATACAGGAACACTGGTGGAGTTTGGGGGAAACAGACCTTGACATTTGGGAGTTGTCACTCTGAACCCCACCAATGATAGAATTGGGCCAAACTTCCCACACACAGAGCCCCAATGCCTTGAAGGGACTATTGATCTACTCATATTTGCATGTTTTTGAGCTGCTAGGTTGGCAGAAGCTGGGCCTAACAGTGGGAGCTCACCCTGCTCCCTGGATTTGAACTGCCGACCTTTCGGTCAGCAAGTTCAGCTGCTCAGAAGTTTAACCCGCAATTTGTGTTTTTATTAAGTGCATATATATCTGGTTTGGCACCAAGAAATACGTTCCATTTGCCTAACAGCACATCTCTAGTTCAAGTGGTTTGAGTACCCATACCAAAAGTGTCAATAGAGGTTTTACTCATTTCTACAGCAGTTGAATCTCCATTGATGATATCCAGAAAAAAATCAGCAGGATTGTCAAAAGGCTCATGGACAAAACCTGTAAAAAAACAAAAAACAAAGATAGATTTAAACAGCCTTTACTTGAGGCAGAATTAATGAAAACATCCAGAGGATTCATAAATATTTTCAACAGTAATTACAAATTAATTACTAAACTCAATTAAAATAGAATTATGGCCTGAGCATTCCTTATATAGAATTCAAAATACTTCAAAATCCAAGATTATCGACATGGACAGCTGAGATAGTTACACCTTTGCTTTCTTAAGATCCAATGTACACAAATGTTATTTCATGCACTAATTTTTTTTAAAAAATAACATATGGAACAAAATTACCTTCCAGCTACTGTACAAGGTGTCTATGAAACATCATTTAATTTGGGTCCAATTTCCAAGCTATCTCATTATGTATGTGTATGCAAATGCAGGTATACCACATTCCAAAAAAATGTAAAACGCAAACCTCTTCTGGTCCTAGCCATTTCAGATAAAGCATACTCAACCTGTACGAGCTTTTAAAGATTTTTTTTTCTTGCGGGGGAGTGAAGGCTTTGTGCACTTTTCACTCCCTAAGTTTGCACAATGCCCTGATACAAAAACTGTTTCTTCTTTTTTTTGATCCCCGTAGGCCCACAAGCTTTAGAGCTTTCTCTGTCTGAATTTTTAAAAAGAGGAACATAATTGCCAGTTCATTTCATGAGATATTAGCAGAGGGCTTTGTTTGTAAACCATATGTAGACATAAACTCACATTTATTTAACCCTAGCTTTGGGACCCAACATTGTCCGGGTTGTTTTTAAAAGTAATTTTTTTATTTTACAAAATGCATAAGGTTGTGGGTGAACTACAACTCACATCATGCCAGGTTGATCACCTGAAACTCCAACAGTACTTAGTTTGTCATGTTGGGAAAGTTTGCTTGAGATGAATCATGAGGGGGTTCAGTGTGATCTCTGGCTGCAGAATAAACTACAGCTCCCACCATGGTGGGTCAGTCCCCTCAATTCCCTCCAGTTGGTTCAGTTGGTCATAGGGGTTCTGTGTGCTGAGTTTGGTCAGATCCGTCATCAGTGGTGGTCACAGTGACTCTGGATGTTAGTCAACTACTACTTCCAGAAATGAAGGTCAGTTTCCCCCAAACCCTTCCAGTATTTTCAGTTGGTCATGGTAGTTCTGTGTGCCAAGTTAAATCCAGGCTTAACGTTGGTGGGGTCCAGAGTACTCTTTGATTGCGTGTGAACTATAAATCCCAGTACCTACAATGGCTATAAATCAAGGTGAATTTCCCCCAAACCTCTCCAATATTTTTCTGAGGTCATGGGGGGTCACAGTGCTCTGACTTGATACAGGGTGAACTACAACTTCCATCATGTGGAGTCAATCCCACAAACTCCTCCAGTATGTTTAGTTGCTGATTAGTTCTGCTCTATTTGTTGTGCAGACAGAGTTGAAAAGAGTAGGAAAGGGTTAAGGGAGAGGCAGTGGGCAGGATCTTGCAAATTCCACCCCAATGAAGAGAGTAAGAATCACTGGGATGTCTGTGTTGGAGAAAACATGTAAAATCTAGGATGAAATTGTCCCCAAATGAAAGCATTCCTTGGGTGGTGGGCAGTATGGGTTTGGGGGGACATTGGCAGGGGTTGGGCTACCTCTTCATGGCGCTCGCTATAACCTGAAATGTCATTGGAGGGAGGGCTTTTGGTGGCTCCTCAGCATTGTGGGTTAAAGCTGTTTGTGGAAGTGGGAGCCTGTTTGTGGAAGAGGACACCCCAGCCACATACACACACATATATTTTCATATTTATTAGGTATATAGATAGATAGATGGGGAAAAAGAGTGAATTCATAGTGTTGCAATACCAAGCAAATATCTGCAACTAAGTGCTTCTTGGAAATGAGTTGGCTGTTTTATCATGAGCTCGCAAAGATTGTGTATGGTAACAATAGGCTGAGTATATTTCTAAAAGGTCTCATCTTTTTCTCCCAATGTCTTTCTGTAAAGATGCTTAACATGCCCAAATGAGAGAGCCCATTTGAACTAGAAGTTTTCAGTCAAAACAAACATATGCTACTCTGATGGTGGCCATATCATGGAGATTTCTGGCAATTACAAGAATCAAACATGGTGCTGATGTATGCCGAGGACAAGACTAAATCTGTATTACACTGTAGAATGAATGCAGTTTGACACCACTTTAACTGCCAAGGCTCAGTACTATAAAATCCTGGGATTTGCAGTTTGAAGAAGGCTAATGACCAGTACAACCAGAGATATGTCGGTATGCCATTGGAAGATGGGACTCCCAGGTCGGAAGATGGCCAAAATGCTACTGGGGAGGAGCAGAGGATAAGTTCAACTAGCCCCAGATGTGATGACGCAGCTAGCTCAAAGCCGAAAGGAAGGCTAGCGGCCGACCGTACTGGAGGTGAACGACGAATCCGATGCTCTAAAGATCAACACACCATAGGAACCTGGAATGTAAGATCTATGAGCCAGGGCAAATTGGATGTTGTTATTGGTGAGATGTCAAGACTAAAGATAGACATTCTGGGGGTCAGCGAACTGAAATGGACTGGAATGGGCCACTTCACATCAGAAGACCACCAGATCTACTACTGCGGACAAGAGGAACATCGAAGAAATGGAGTAGCCTTCATAATTAATAAGAAATTCGCTAAAGCGGTGCTTGGATACAACCCAAAAAATGACAGAATGATCTCAACTCGAGTGCAAGGAAAGCCTTTCAACATTACAGTGATCCAAATATACGCCCCAACCACAGCTGCTGAAGAAGCAGAAGTAGATCAGTTCTATGAGGATCTGCAGGACCTACTGGATAATACACCAAAAAGAGACATTATTTTCATTACAGGAGACTGGAATGCCAAGGTGGGAAGTCAAATGAAAACAGCGATCACAGGCAAGCATGGTCTGGGAGAACAAAATGAAGCGGGACGCAGGCTGATAGAATTTTGCCAGGAAAACTCGCTGTGTATAACGAATACTCTCTTCCAACAACCTAAAAGACGGCTTTACACATGGACCTCACCAGACGGTCAACACCGAAATCAGATTGACTACATCCTTTGCAGCCAAAGGTGGCGGACATCCATCCAGTTGGTGAAAACAAGACCTGGGGCTGACTGTAGCTCAGATCACGAACTTCTTATTGCCCAATTTAGAATAAAACTAAAGAGATCAGGGAAAATACACAGACCAGTTAGATATGATCTCACTAACATTCCTAGCGAATATACAGTGGAAGTGAAGAACAGATTTGAAGGACTAGATTTAGTAAACAGAGTCCCAGAAGAACTATGGACAGAAGTCCGAGACATTGTTCAGGAGGCGGCAACAAAGTACGTCCCAAAGAAAAAGAAAACCAAGAAGGCAAAATGGCTGTCTGCTGAGACACTGGAAGTAGCCCAAGAAAGGAGGAAAGCAAAAGGAAACAGGGATAAGGGGAGATATGCCCAGTTAAATGCGCAATTCCAGAGGTTAGCCAGAAGAGATAAGGAACTATTTTTAAATAAGCAATGCATGGAAGTGGAAGAAGACAACAGAATAGGAAGGACAAGAGACCTCTTCCAGAAAATTAGAAACGTTGGAGGTAAATTTCAGGCAAAAATTGGTATGATAAGAAACAAAGATGGCAGGGACCTAACAGAAGCTGAAGAGATCAAGAGAAGGTGGCGAGACTATACAGAAGATCTGTATAGGAAGGATAATAATATTGAGGATAGTTTTGACGGTGTGGTGAATGAATTAGAACCAGACATCCTGAGGAGTGAGGTTGAATGGGCCTTAAGAAGCATTGCTAACAACAAGGCAGCAGGAGACGACGGGATCCCAGCTGAACTGTTTAAAAGCTTAAAAGATGATGCTGTCAAGGTGATGCATGCCATTTGCCAGCAAATATGGAAAACACAAGAATGGCCATCAGACTGGAAAAAATCAACTTATATCCCCATACCAAAAAAGGGAAATGCGAAAGACTGCTCAAACTTCCGTACAGTGGCCCTTATTTCTCATGCCAGTAAGGTAATGTTCAAGATCCTGCAAGGAAGACTCCAGCAATACATGGAGCGAGAGTTGCCAGATGTTCAAGCTGGGTTTAGAAAAGGTAGAGGAACGAGAGACCAAATTGCCAATATCCGCTGGATAATGGAGAAAGGCAGGGAGTTTCAGAAAAACATCTATTTCTGCTTCATTGACTATTCTAAAGCCTTTGACTGTGTGGATCATAATAAATTGTGGCAAGTTTGGTGGGATGGGCATACCAAATCACCTTGTCTCTCTCCTGAGGAATCTGTATAAGGACCAAGTAGCAACAGTAGGAACTGAATCATGGAACAACAGACTGGTTCAAGATTGGGAAAGGAGTACGGTAGGGTTGTATCCTCTCACCCAACCTATTCAACTTGTATGCAGAACACATCATGCAATGTGCGGGGCTTGATGAATGCAAGGCTGGGGTGAAAATTGCTGGAAGAAACATTAACAACCTCAGATATGCAGATGACACCACTTGATGGCCGAAAGCGAGGAGGAGCTGAGGAGCCTTCTAATCAAGGTGAAAGAAGAAAGCGCAAAAGCCGGGTTGCAGCTAAACGTCAAAAAAAACCAAGATTATGGCAACAAGAATGATTGACAACTGGAAAATAGAGGGAGAAACAGTGGAGGCCGTGACAGACTTTGTATTTCTAGGTGCAAAGATTACTGCAGATGCAGACTGTGGCCAGGAAAATCAGAAGACGCTTACTTCTTGGGAGGAGAGCAATGTCCAGTCTCGATAAAATAGTAAAGAGTAGAGACATCAGACTGGCAACAAAGATCCGCATAGTCAAAGCATGGTATTCCCTGTAGTAACCTACGGATGTGAGAGCTGGACCTTAGGGAAGGCTGAGCGAAGGAAGATCGATGCTTTTGAGCTGTGGTGTTGGAGGAAAGTGCTGAGAGTGCCTTGGACTGCGAGAAGATCCAACCAGCCCATCCTCCAGGAAATAAAGCCCGACTGCTCACTGGAGGGAAAGATACTAGAGACAAAGTTGAAGTACTTTGGCCACATCATGAGGAGACAGGAAAGCCTAGAGAAGACAATGATGATGGGGAAAGTGGAAGGCAAAAGGAAGAGGGGCCGACCAAGGGCAAGATGGATGGATGGCATCCTTGAAGTGACTGGACTGACCTTGAGGAGCTGGGGGTGGTAACGGCCGACAGGGAGCTCTGGTGTGGGCTGGTCCATGAGGTCACAAAGAGTCGGAGACGACTGAACGAATGAACAACAACAACAATGATCTCATAAAAGAACAGCCCCTGTGATACCAAGCATTGAGCCAAGGCAATTAAAGTGGCATCTAACTGTATTCATTCTACAGGGTAGATGCACCCTAAATGGAGATCCAAAATGTAATAAGCTACAAAAGTTTCTTTGGATCTCAAACAGAGAGATCATGACATAACCTCACCTACACAGTTGAAGCAGGAATCATACTCTAACCCTCCAGATATGTTTTGGCCTGCACCTCCCATTAACTCTTTTTATCAACTTTGTTAGTGAGGACTAATTAGAGTTTTATGCCACCAAACATTTGGAGGCCTGTTGTTATTATTGTTTTTCAGGTCTTTGCGCCACAACCACTTTTTTGATCTTAAAGCAATGGGAAATATTTGAACACATTCTGTTCACTTTGCCTACATTAGTGTTTCTCAACCTGGGGGATGGGATCCGGGGGGGGGGGGGTGTTAGAGGGGTTGCCATGACCATCAGAAAACACAGTAATTTCTGTTGATCATGGTCCAATTCTATTGTTGGTGGGGTTCAGAATGCTCTTTGATTGTAGATGAACTATAAATCCCAGCAACTACAACTCTCAAATGTCAAATCTATTTTCCCCAAACTCCACCAGTGTTCAAATTTGGCCATATTGAGAATTTGTGCCAACTTTGGTCCAGATCCATCATTGTTTGAATCCACAGTGCTCTTTGGAAGTAGGTGAACTACAACTCCCAAACACAAGGTCAATGCCCACCAAACCCTTCCAGTATTTTCTGTTGGTCAGGGGAGTTCTGTGTACCAAGTTGGGTTCAAATCCATTGTTGGTGGAATTCAGAATGCTCTTTGATTGCAGGATAACTATAAATCCCAGCAACTACAACCCCCAAATGACAAAATCAACCCCCCCCCAACTCCAACAATATTTAGATTTGGGCGTATTGGGTATTTGTGCCAAATTTTGTCCAGTGAATGAAAATACATCAGATATTTACATTACAATTCATATCAGTAGCAAAATTACAGAATCAATGAATGTAATTTTATGGTTGGGGACACCACAACATGAAGAATGGTATTAAGGGATCATGATGTTAGGAAGGTTGAGAACCACTGGTCTACATGGAAAGATTCCTTTAAATTGCCATTTCATCACTTATTTCGCACAGTGTATCAAACACGGAACATCGGTATTTCTAAATTTAGGGAGAACTCACCCAAATTTTTAAAATACTCAAGAGCTTCATCAGCTGGCCCATGATAGATCAGCCTTCCAGCAGCAAGAAGTGTCAGGGTGTCGAACAATTTGAAAATCGAATACCGAGGCTGGTGGATGGAAAAAATTATTGTTTTTCCTTGATGTGACAGCCTGAAGGCAACACAGAAAAGACAATTCACTGCTGCAAGTGCCACATGTTTTTAACACTTTGAATCATTTAAAGCAGTGTTGCTGTGATGTGAGGGGCTGACAATGATTTTATCCCCAGTGTTACAGGGTCTAATACCATATTTATTTCTATCTTTGCTGAAAACTCACAACAGGATAGCAGCGAATGCCTCTAGGAGCAGCACTAGTTTGATTAGCACTATTTTATAGTATGCATGAATGTGACTTTGAAAAATAGCACTGTTATCTTGAGCAGAATTTCAAGATGATGGGCAAAATGTTTCAACGTCTCCTTGTCTGACCTTACCTCTTTCATTAACATCTACCCATTTGGCACGACCACTACCCAATTTTTCCATTGCTCTTCTTTAATCTTTAAAGATACTTAAAAAATTGACATAATAAAGGCCACATAAACAGCTCAAAGAGAGACAATGTTGGCAAAAGCATGTGAGAAGCAGGCAGGTTCAGGGAGCCTGGGGTTGGAGGTTTGAATGGAGTTACACTCCGACTGAAAAATTTTGTTTACAGCTTATCAATATTCCTGGACCCATCTCTCCAAATGTCAGTCCATGTAAATGTGGTGGTCAGGAGTACTTATTAACACCTTTGGCTGAAATGCCAGCTGCATCCCTTCCTAGAAATGGAGAGCCTAAGGAAGATAATCCTCACACTGATAACCTCTGCTACCTATGTACCAAGTTTGGAAATTCCTGTTAGTTCAAAACATTGAAGTCAAATGTGTTATGGGTACATCAAGGAGTGAGGCCATTATACCTATACTAAAAATCACTCCACTGATTGCCAATTAGTTTCCAAGCAAAGTACAATGTGTTGGCTATTACCCTTAAAGTTCTATTTGGATCACGTTCTGTATAATCCACACTGTACACTTAGGCTACATCAATAGGAATATACTGTCTAGGTCAAGGGAAGTCACAGTCCCACTCCATTTTGCTTTGGTCATATCTCAACTGGGTCCAGTTTTGGGCACCAAAATTCAAAAGGAATATTAACAAGCTGGAATGTGTCCAGGGAACGGCGACCGAAATGATCAAAGTTTTGGAAGTTGTAATCCAACATCAGGAGGTCCACATAAAATGATATGGGGGCTGAATTCGGCACATGTGGTGTAGATGCACCCATAGTAGACAAACTGTAAAGATAAAGATAAAGGTTTCCCCTGACATTAAGTCTGGTCAAAGAGCGGCTGAGGAAGCTGGGTATGCTTAGCTTGGAGAAAAGAAGGCTGAGAAGGTACGTGATAGTCGTGTTTACATATCTGAAAGGATGTCATGTTGAGGGGGCAGACTTGTTTTCTGCTGCTCTGGAGACTAGGACACAATGAAGCAATTGATTCAAATTACAGATTCCACCTTGGAAGGACTTCCTGAAGGTAAGAGCTGTTCGACCATGGAATATGCTTCCTGAGAGTGTGGTGGTGGTTTTTAAGCAGAGGCTGGATGGCCATCTGTTGGGGATGCTTTGACTGTGTTTTCCTGCATGGCAGAGAGTTGGACTGGATGGTCCTTGTGGTCTCATCCAACTCTAGGATTTATGATTTAATGATTCTCCGGAGGCATCTTACTTCAACCAGCCAGAACCTCACAAGCAATGATCACCCAGAAGACCTTTTCATCAACTCCCCAATACTTTGGAATGTGCCTGCCAGAAGAACTTTGACAGCTAAACCAGCTGCCAGGGGTTAAAACAGAATTAAAGGACCTTACTATGTTTGCTCAGAGAGGGTTTGCTATTGCCTTCCTCTGAGCAAAGAGAGAGACTTGCTCATGATCACCCAGTGCATCTCCATGCTTGAATAGGAGTTTAAACCATAGCCCTAGTCCAGTGGTTCCCAACGTGTGGTCCGTGGATCACCAGTGGCCCACAAGAACTAGAATATGGTCCACAGCCTCACCATTACTATACCATTGCAACGAGAGCTACTGGTCTCGCAAAACCCTCTTATAGTGCTGAGGCTTATTAAATATGATTTTCCATGGGCAAGCAGATGGTAACTACCGGATAGCATATGTTCTGCATTAGGAACTAGAGCTGATGTGGTCTATCCAATGCCGTTTTCTGAATCAGCACCTCAAATAACCAAACCAAATCTAAAGTTGACCAAAAACTGATTCATAACCCTTTCGGTACTAATGTTGGAGAGTGGTCCCTGGTCAAAATATTTCCTGGTCAAGTGGTCTCTGGTAAAAAAAAAAAGGTTGGGAACCACTGCCTTAGTCCAACACTCAAACAACTAAACTACACTGTCTCCTAAAAGGAATACTATCTTTAAAAACAACCATAAGTCTTTCGTGTTAAAAATGGTGCAATCTTGTGAATAATCTGTCCTTGGGCATAATCTTATCTGGACATTTTTAAGGGTTCTAAAATTTTGGCGCTTCTCTCAGAGACTGGAATGGTTTACCTTTTCAAGAGCATCAGGACAGCATTGGCTGTGCTGGCATCCAGTCCAGTTGTGGGTTCATCTAAGAACAAGACTGTCGGGTGTGTAATCAGCTCTAGCCCAATGCTGGTCCTTTTCCTTTCTCCTCCAGAAATTCCACGGGTAAATACCGTGCCAACCTAACACGGGTAAAGAAATTGAAAATGGAGGCCCTTTGCATTGTAACAACATCCCTTTAATTTACAGATATTTATAAAGCACTTCGGACATCCCAAAGAATGTGCAGTGTCGTCAAATCCAAACACGTGCAACCACAAATGTACCTTTGAATCTGCAACTTTAACCAAGTCCAGTTCTTTGATGACCATTTCGACTCTCTCTTGCTTTTCCTCAGCGTTCATTGACAGAGGAAGCCGAAGGGCAGCTGAGAATGCTAAGTTTTCTCTGACTGTCAGAGTTCCCATCACTATGTCATCCTTAAAAAAATACATAGAGGTTTTCATTGCAGTACCAGACTCCGTTATACCACATTCTTGTGACTGTTCATGTGCTTTGGCATTTACATGCTTCAGTCTTGTGGAATCGTCCAACCAGAATCAGCAGACCTACATTAAGCATTTAAGGCAAAACAAGCCACCCAAGGCAGACAGGCATATATAAAGCATTAAGGAATTAGGCAGCCATGAGTGCATGCTTAACTCAACATCATGGAGTCTGCAACAGAATCAAATGCACCACTTCCATATTCACTTCTGGGTTTCCCTCAAGTAGGAGGAAGGCAGCTATGGTGTTGCTGCTATTGTTAGATGATCTGGAGTTTGAAATTCTTGCCAATCTGCTGCAAATGAAACAGAATTTACCAATAGGTCCTCATATATTTACCAATAGGTTCTTCTGCTCATATAATAATAAAAGCTGGTGGGAGTTGTGATACATTAATACCTGAAAGGCTGCAGTTTATTCTGTTTAGTCAAGAGAGTGGGGTTTGAATTTAGATACAAAAATCCATACAAGGCTTGAGGAGCTGATGTCTGACTTTAAAATGTCCTTTCACCTTTACCCAAACTCAGAGCCACATATTTTAGAAACATCATGAGAAGGTGTAACTCACTAGAAAAGACAATAATGCCTGGTAAGACAGAACGCAGCAGGAAAAGAGGAAGACGGCATTAGATTCAATCAAGGAGGCCACATCTTGAAGTCTGCAGGACCTGATCAGAGCTGGAAGGGTGATTTAGGGCCCTTCCACACAGCCATATTACCCTGAATATCCCACGATATGTCATCTAAATTGGGTTATCTGGGCAGAAAATCCCACGATATGTCCTCTGAATTGGGTTATCTGGGTCCACACTGCAATATATCCCAGTACAAAGCAGATAATGTGGGATTTTATTCAACTGTGTGGAAAAGGCACTAGGGCCCTTCCACACTGCTCTTTATCCCAGGATCTGATCCCAGATTAAAGGTAAAGGTAAAGGTTTCCCCTGATATCAAGTCTAGTCGTGTCCGACTCTGGGAGGTGGTGCTCATCTCCATTTCTAAGCTGAAGAGTGTACAATTGTAGGTTTTTTGGGCTATATGGCCATGTTCTAGAAGCATTCTCTCCTGATGTTTTGCCTGCATCTATGGCAGGCATCCTCAGAGGGCAAGCATCCTTAGAGACCTCACAACTTCTGAGGATGTCTGCAATAGATGTAGGCGAAACGTGAGGAAAGAATGCTTTTAGAACATGGCCTTATAGCCCGAAAAATCTACAATAACCCAGTGATTACAGCCATGGAAGCCTTTGACAATACATTGAAGAGCAGGCATTGTCCATAGACACCTCCAAGGTCATGTGGCCAGCATGACTTCATGGAGTGCCATTAACTTCCCACCGAAGCAGTATCTATTGATCTACTCATATTTGCATGTTTTCAAACTGCTAATTTGGCAGAAGCTGGGGCTAACAACAGGAGCTCACCAAGTCTAGGGATTTGAACCGCCGACCTTTCAGTCAGCAAGTTCTGCAGCTTAGTGGTTGAACCCAGATTATCCTTAGGGATATAGGGGCAGTGTGGAAGGACCCGTACAGGTCTCTCATTCATAGGTCTAAGTCAACTTGAGAGCAGTTAACAACAAAAATCATTACTGCAGACTTTATTTACCTGTACTACATATCCAGAAATACATTTAAAATGTGGAGGCAGCTTGTAGCCATTTATCAAAATTTCACCAGACAGCCCTAAAGGATCTTTCCTTGTAGCTAAGATGTCCAAGAGCCTAGAAGAAGAAAAACAAAACATATTCCCAGAGATATATTTAACATTGCTTGTGGCTCATGTTGATACTTCTGTCCTTATTAAATATATCCTTATACTTCTAGACTGACCTTTCTCATTGAAACTAAATATAATAAGATATAGTAATATCCTGAATTGTAACATTCTCATAAAATCAATTATGTTTTTTATTATTTCGACACTTACGAAGATTTGCCGCAGCCAGTGGGTCCTAAAATGGCATTGAGACCAGGTTTCATGACACCACTGTAAAAGAAAATCAATTTGGTACTAGTCAAATGCTTAATTTATATACCATGTAATTTTAAAATCCACATTAATAGCCCAATTCAAAGTTCACAGAAAGCTGTTTAAACTGTCCAGAATTCTTAATTAGACAAGAAGAAAAGCAAAATGATAAGAAAAGATTGGAAAAGTGATTCATGTTTAAGACATGATCTAAGTCTAAATGAAAAGTACATTCTTTCCTCTCACTTCCCTCCTTTTTCTCTTTTCTCTCCCTTCCTTGTCCTTCCTTCCTTCCTTCTTTCCTTCCTTCCTTCCTTCCTTCCTTCCTTCCTTCCTTCCTTCCTTCCTTCCTTCCTTTCTTTCTTTCTTCCCTTCCTTTCTCTTTCTTTTCTTCTCTTCCCTCTCCTCATAACTTCCTTCCCTCCATTTCTTTCTTACCCTTCTTTTTCTCTTTCTTTCTTTCTTTCCTTCCCTCCTCTCTTGATCTTGTACACCTGTCACCATAGTTTTAAATGTGTTTTATTTGTCTCTCCCTTAAATTTCAGCACATTTTTTTTGCAAGGTTACTGCTCATACACGATAAATTGAGCCTAGGGAATATCTCCCTCACTGCCCAGACTTAGAATCATAAATCATAGAGTGGGAAGAGATCTCATGGGCCATCCAGTCCAACCTCCTGCCAAGAAGCAGTGAAATCGCATTCAAAGCAGCCCCAAGAGATGGCCATCAAGCCTCTGTTTAAAAGCCTCCATACAAGGAGCCTCCACCATATTTTGGGGTAGAGAGTTCAGCTGATAAACAGCTCTAACAGTCAGAAAGTTTTTCCTAATGTTCAGGTAGAATCTTTTTTCCTGTACTTTGAAGCCTTTGCTCCACATCCTAGTCTCCAGGGCAGCAGAAAACAAGCTTGCTCCCTCCTCCCTAGGACTTCCCCTCACATAGTTATACATGGCTAACATGTCTTCTCTCAGTCTTCTCTTCTACAGGCTAAACATGACCAGCTCTTTAAGCCGCTCCTCATAGGGCTTGTTCTCCAGATCTTTGATCATTTTAGTCACCCTCCTCTGGACACATTCCAGCTTGTCATGTGGCCGGCATGACTGCATGGAGCGCCGTTACCTTCCCGCCGGAGCGGTACCTATTGATTTACTCACATTTGCATGTTTTAGAACTGCTAGGTTGGCAGAAGCTAGGGCTGACAGCGGAAGCTCACGCCGCTCCCCGGAATCGAACCTGCGACCTTTCGATCAACAAGCTCAGCAGCTCAGTGCTTTAACCCACTACGCCACTGGAGTTATAGTTGCTGGGATTTGTAGTTCACCTACAATCAAAGAGCCCCTTGAAACCCACCAACGATAGAATTGGGCCAAAACTTCCCACACAGAACCCCCATGACCAACAGAAAATATTGTGTTTTCTGGTGGTCTTTGGCGACCCCTCTGACACCCACTTGCGACACCCCCCCCCCCCCCCACAAGGGGTCCCAACCTCCAGGTTGAGAAACACTGATCTAGACACTAAACTCCTATTGATGCAGGCCCAAATCCCATTGGCTTTTTTTGCCGCAGCATCACATTGTTGACTCATGCTTATCCACAAGGACTCCAAGATCTTTTTCACACGTCCTGCTCTCGAGTCACACGCTGCCCCCCATCCTGACTCACCTGACATCGTTCAAAACCCTTTTCTTGACTTCTTTCCGGAACCCGTAGTGGCCGGTTTTGATTTTGACTTGGTAGTTGATTTTGTGGAAGGTCATGGTGCTCCCTTCCGACTGCCTGCAACTTGGGAAAGTGATCCTCCTCTTCCGCAGGGCTGCCACCCGGGCCTCTTTCTCAGACGCTTCCTGGGACTTCTGCTCAGGCTTCAGGAATCGTTGGAACATGTTGCTGTTGGCATCAAGGAGAGGGAGAGATCATAGAATCATAGAATCAAAGAGTTGGAAGAGACCTCCTGGGCCATCCAGTCCAACCCCATTCTGCCAAGAAGCAGGAATATTGCATTCAAATCACCCCTGACAGATGGCCATCCAGCCTCTGTTTTAAAGCTTCCAAAGAAGGAGCCTCCACACACACTTCAGCACAACAGGTAAGACTAGACAGACCCAAAGGTGAGCCCAATCCCCCCATCTGCTTGCTATGACAACCTGGCAGACACTCTCTCTCTCTCCTCTAGGAAGCATCCAACCCCTCCAATACCCCACCCTTCTGTTTGGGTGTATTGTTACACATCCTCTGCAGTGTGAAACTCGAGAGGGCAGCGCTCCCTGGTTCAGCAAAGAAAGGTGACACCAGGGGAGCGACTTACAAGGTTTCCATATTGGCAGGTGAGGAAGGCGCTGCAGGTAAACGCAGAAAGGGGCCTCTCTGGGTCTTCGTGGGTCACCTCCTTCCTTCCTCCTCTGCTCTCCTCCCGGCACGTAACGTGTGTAACGTTCGCTCCGTCTGCGGCTTCCAACGGCGACGGAATGCTGCTTTGGAATGAGAACTCCTGGCCCTGCGCTCTGCTTGAGGGTTGTTGTTGCAGTCGGATCTCCGTATCCACGGATTGGAAAGAAGGAAAAAAGAACCTCTTCCTCTTTTATTTTAAATTGGTGAATTATTTTGCTTTGCCATTGCATTATCGTGTGGCTTCGGCATCCGCGGGTTTCGGTATCCGCGGGAGCGGGGGATAGTCTCAGCGTGTGTCTCTCTCCAAAGCCAGAACTCTTGGGTGGTGACCAGGGAGTCTGGGAAGTGAAATTTGGGGTCCTGACCACAGTTTTAAGACAATATTTTCCAGATGCAGTCCTTTAGCTTTGGAGACAGTGCAGAAGTGGAGCCAGGAAGATATACTTCCACCATGTCTCCTGGGTGATCAATTGGGAGCCTATCCCCCCAGCAACAATATAGTAATCAATAATACTAATATTGTGCTGTGCTGATAATATAATATATTGTATCCACATATAATATTGATATCTGTATAGTACAATATATTAATAAACAATACTAATATTGTGCTGTGCTCATAATATATTGTATACACACATTATATTGATAATAATATTATTATGTAATTCAATATAATACTAATCATAATACAATATAATAATTTAATATATTAATATATAGTAATATATAATACTAATGTGCTGTGCTAATATAATAATATATTGTATACACATTTAATATTGATAATAATATTATAATTTAATACAATATAATAATTTTATATTACATGTAATATTACTAATTATAATATCGTATATGATATACTACAATATAGTAATAAATAATACTAATATTGTGCTGTGCTCATAATATAATATATTGTATACACATATAATATTGATAATAATATTATTATGTAATTCAATATACTAATAATAATACAATATAATAAATTAATATATTTATGTATAGTAATATATAATACTAATGTGCTGTACTAATATTATAATATATTGTATACACATATAATATTGATAATAATATTATAATTTAATACAATATAATAATTTTATATTACATGTAATATTACTAATAATAATATAGTATAGTGATGTACTACAATATAGTAATCAATAATACTAATATTGTGCTGTGCTCATAATATAATATATTGTATACACATATAATATAGATATGTGTATAGTACAATATATTAATAAATAATACTAATATTGTGCTGTTCTCATAATATATTGTATACACATATAATATTGATAATAATGTTATTATGCAATTCAATATAATACTAATAATAATACAATAATTTAATATATTAATATATAGTAATATATAATACTAATGTGCTGTGCTAATATATTGTATACAATATAATACTAGTAATAATACAATATAATAATTTTATATTTTATATTACATGTAATATTACTAATAATATTACAGTATACTGGTATAGTACAATATAGTAATATATAATACTAATATTGTGCTGTGCTAATAATATAATATATTGATATACTACAATATAGTAATAAATAATACGAATATTGTGCTGCGCTAATATATTGTATATATTGATAATAATATTAAAATGTAATACAATATACTTCTGCCAACCTAGCAGTTTGAAAACATGCAAATGTAAGTAGATCAATAGGTACCGCTCTGGCGGGAAGGTAACGGTGCTCCATGCAGTCATGCCGGCCACATGACCTTGGAGGTGTCTATGGACAACGCCGGCTCTTTGGCTTAGAAATGGAGATGAGCACCACACCCCAGAGTCAGACATGACTGGACTTAATGTCAGGGGACAACCTTTACCAACCTAATACAATATAATACTATATGAATACAATATAACAATTATATATTGTGTATTACATGTAATATTGCTAATAATATTACAGGATAGTGATATACTACAATATAGTAATAATACTAATATTGTGCTGTGCTAATATAATATATTGTATACACATATAATATTGATAATAATATTATAATTTAATACAATATAATACAAATACAATATAATGATTATATATTTTATATTACATGTAATATTGCTAATAATATTACAGTATAGTGGTATAGTATAATATAGTAATATATAATACTAATATTGTGCTGTGCTAATAATATAATATATTGTATGCACATATAATATTGATAATATTGTAATACAATATAACAATAATAATAATACAATATAACAATTTTATATTTCATATTACATGCAATATTACTAATAATATTACAGTATAGTGGAATAGTAGAATATAGTAATATATAATACTTATGCAGGTGAAACGTCAGGAGAGATTGCTTCTAGAACATGGCCATACAGGCCCGAAAAGCCTACAGCAACCCATAGTCACATCCAATACTAATATTGTGCTGTGGTAATAATATATTGTATACACATATAATTTTGATAATATTATAATATAATACTAATAATAATACAATATAATAATTTTATGTTTCATATTGAATGTAATATTACTAATAATATTACAGTATAGTGGTATAGTACAATATAGAAATATATTATATTGTGCTATGCTAATAATATAATATATTGTATGTACATATAATTTGCGAGCCATTCTGAGCCCCCGGTGGCGCAGTGGGTGAAAGCACTGAGCTGCTGAGCTTGTTGATCGAAAGGTCGCAGGTTCGATCCCGGGGAGCGGCGTGAGCTTCCGCTGTCAGCCCTAGCTTCTGCCAACCTAGCAGTTCGAAAACATGCAAATGTGAGTAGATCAATAGGTACCGCTCCGGCGGGAAGGTAATGGCGCTCCATGCCATCATGCTGGCCACATGACCTTGGAGGTGTCTACGGACAACGCTGGCTCTTCGGCTTAGAAATGGAGATGAGCGCCACACCCCAGAGTCAGACATGACTGGACTTAATGTCAGGGGACAACCTTTACCTACATATAACTTGCGAGCCATTCTGAGTCCCCTTTGGGTGAGAAGGGCGGCATATAAATGTCGTAAATAAATAAATAAATAAATAAATAAAGCATTGACTCAAGAGCTTCTGATTTTGGTCTATTCATACCCCAAGATATAAACTTTCCAAAGGGTAAACAACCTGAAAAATAGAGGTGGGTTCTCCTCTGCCTTTTATGGTCCTGTAGAAACTCCTATTTAACCAGAGCTTGCTTTTCACATTTCTGTAAATTTTACTTCCTGACATTTTCCTCTTCTGCTCAATATAATTAATAATAATAATAATAATAATAATAATGGTGTCAAACATGTGATCCAATACATCAGCCAGCATAGTGATTTTCTTTGCTGTGTACTAATCTTGTTGTGTATTAAATAATAATAATAATAATAATAATAATAATAATAATAATAATAATGGTAATAATGGGTTGCTGTGAGTTTTCCGGCTGTATGGCCATGTTTCAGAAGCATTCATAGAATCATAGAGTTAGAAGAGACCTCGTGGGCCATCCAGTCCAACCCCCTGCCAAAAAGCAGGAAAATCTCATTCAAAGCACCCCCGACAGATGGTCATCCAGCCTGTTTAAAAGCCTCCAAAGAAGGAGCCTCCACCACACTCTGGGGAAGAGAGTTCCACTGCTGAACAGCTCTCACAGTCAGGAAGTTCTTCCTAATGTTCAGGTGCAATCTCCTCTCTTGTAGTTTGAAGCCATTGGTCCACATCTTGGTCTCCAGGGCAGCAGAAAACAAGCATGGTCCCTCCTCTCTATGATTTCCCCTCACATATTTATCATGTCTCCTCTCAGCCTTTTCTTCTGCAGGCTAAACATGCCCACCTCTCTAAGCCACTTCTCATAGGGCTTGTTCTTCAGACCCTTGATCATTGTAGTCGCCCTCCTCTGGATACATTACAGCTTGTCAACATCTCCCTTCAATGGTGGTGCCCAGAATTGGACACAGTATTCTAGATGTGCTCTAATCAAAGCAGATTAGAGGGGTAGCATGACTTCCCTGGATCTAGACACTATTCTCCTATTGATGCAAGCCAAAATCCCATTGGCTCTTTTTGGCGCCACATGACATAGTTGGCTCACGTTATGTGCCAAAAATTCTCTCTTGACGTGTTGACATTTATGGCGGGCATCCTCAGAAGTTGTGATGTGGCCTCACAATCTCTGAGGATGCCTGCCATAAACATGGGTGAAACATCAGAAGGTAATGCTTCTGAAGCATGGCCTTACAGTCCAGAAAACTCACAGAAACCCAGTGATTCCAGCCATGAAACATAGAGTAATATTTTTTAATACCCACCTCTTCTTTTGGCCCGAGGTGAGGCATAACATAGTTAATAAAACTATAAAATGTTTACTAAATATCTTTAATATCAGATCCCAACTGATATTAAAAGCTAAGCAGGGTTAGCCCTGGTTAATACTTGGATGGGAGACCACCAATGGTTTTGTAGCTATAGCTCAAGCCCCTTCCACGCAGCTGTATAAAAGCCACATTGAACTGGATTATATGTCAGTGTGGACTTAGATAATCTTGTTCAAATCAGATATTGTGGATTATCTACCTTGCTATTCTGGGTTATATGGCTGTGTGGAAGGGCCCTCAGAGGAAGGGACTGGCAAAACCACCTCTGAGTATCCCTTGCCTAAGAACATACTATGAATTTCATAAGTCAACTTGAATGGGCATTTCTAATAAATAGCATTGTAAAATTCCCAACTTGAGCAACGCCAGGTGAAATACAGCACTCAGAAGTTTGGGAAAACCACTTTTTCTGTTACTAACAGATAGCCAAAAAGCATCTGATTTAATCTTATCTAAAACCCTTTGTGCACTATTATAGTTCATTGAACCTCCCATCCATCATGGTCAGTGTTGAATTTTATGAATTGTAGTCTAAAAAGGGAGCTCCCGGTGGCACAGTGGGTTAAAGCGCTAAGCTGCTGAGCTTGTTGACTGATAGGTTTGATTCCGGGGAGCGGTGTGAGCTTCCACTGTCAGCCCCAGCTTCTGACAACCTAGCAGTTTGAAAACATGCAAATATGAGTAGATCAATAGGTACCACTCCGGCGGGAAGGTAACTGCGCTCATGCAGTCATGCCGGCCGCATGACCTTGGAGGTGTCTATGGACAACGCTGGCTCTTCAGCTTAGAAATGGAGATGAGCACCACACCCCAGATTTGCACACGACTGGACTTAATGTCAGGGAAAAACCTTTACCTTACTTAGTCTAAAAAGTTCCTTTCTCCAGCCCTCTCTACCTCAGATATTTCTTGCTCTGCTATCAGTGGTATCTCGTCCTGGCACGTGGCATGCTTAGAGGATGGAATGAATCCACTCATTCTGATGTTTTATTATTTTCAAAATAACTACAGATACAAAGTGTTGTACAATGAAAAAAACAACAACAGATATAATCTGCTCTTGCCATCAGGCTCACAGTCTTTAGGAAAAACACAAAAGTAGCCGCATTGTTCCATAAGAAGTAGTAATGAAACAACATAATCCAGAATTTGATCAGTCCATTCATTACAATGGATCAAAATGGCACAAAATACACTATTGGATTTTTGTTTTTCACCTCCCCGTAGTGATGGGAACCACAAATAATGGTTCCCAATTGAATTGGTTGGTTCTAAATAAGGACTTTAAATTTTACATACAAAAATTAAAACATGAGAGTGGAGGTAGAACCCCTATCTTAACCATCATATATATTTGGCTCAGAATGGGATAAAGAGGCAACATAATAGAAAAGCATTCTTATTCTTTAAGTATTTCCTTGAAGAATTAATAATACTCTGATTGTACTCCAAAGAGCACAATTATTTACATCAATTATGTTTAATAAGCACTTATCCATCAGCTATTGGGTTATAGTTTATAAACACTTCATGTGATGAATATAATATGACATACAGAAACATATCTAATTACACTTGAGGTATGCTACTTCATTGATTGGCTTCTACAATGGAGTAAGTATGGGATAACATATTGTGCTAAATACAACAGTGCAATGGAACAATAGCTTTCATTTGATAATGCGGGCAAGCTCAATGGAGTGTGAAGCCATAAGAGAGATTCATTCCTCTCAATTCATTTCATACAGCCAATTATCCTCTCCCACAGACTTCCTTGTGTTGAACATAATCGAAACATCTATTGCATGCAGTTAGCTCTTTACAGGTTTGCTGATAAGTTAACCTTTGTCACATCTACACTGCAATATAATTAATACAGCTTGAAACTGCATCATGTGATCGGTGTAAACTCATATAATGCAGTGCAGTGCCGTTGCATTACATGATCAGCATAAACTCATAATGTAGTTTAACTGCACTGAACTTTAATATATAAGTCTACACCAGTGTTTCTCAACCTGGGAGTTGGGACCCCTAGGGGGGTCGTGAGGAGATGTCAGAGGAGTCGTCAAAGACAATCAGGAAACACAGTATTTTCTGTTGAGATTCTGTGTGGGAAGTTTGGCCCAATTCTATCATTGGTGGGGTTCAAGATGCCCTTTGATTGTAGGAGAACTATAAATCCAAAATGTCAAGGTCTATTTTCCCCAAAATCCACTAGCATTCACATTTGGGCATATTGAGTATTCGTGCCAAGTTTGGTCCAGATCCATGACTGTTGAGTCCACAGGGCTCTCTGGATGTAGGTGAACTACAACTCCAAAACTCAAGGTCAATGTTCACCAAACCCTTCCAGCATTTTCTGTTGGTCATGGAAGTTCTGTGTGCCAAATTTGGTTCATTTCTGGGTTGTTGTAGTTTTTGTTTTTTTGGGTTATATGGCCATGTTCTAGAGGCATTCTCTCCTGATGTTTCACCTGCATTTATGGCAAGCATCCTCAGAGGTAGTGAGGACCTCACTACCTCTGAGGATGTTTGCCATAGATGCAGGCAAAATGTCAGAAGAGAATGCCTCTAGAACATGGCCATATAGCCTGAAAAAAACTACAACAACCCAGTGATCCCGGCCATGAAAGCCTTCGACAATACATTGGTTCATTTCCATCATTGGTGGAATTCAGAATGCTCTTTGATTGTAGGAGAACTATAAATCCCAGCAACGGCAACTCCCAAATGACAAAATCAATCCCCCGCAATCCCACCAGTATTCAAATTTGGGTGTATCAGGTATTTGTGTCCAGTGAATTTGATCCAGTGAATGAAAATACATCCTGCATATCAGATATTTACATTACAATTCATAATAGTAGCAAAATTACAGTTCTGAAGTAGCAACCAAAATAATTTTATGTCTGGCGGACACCACAACATGAGGAACTGTTTTAAAGGATTGTGGCATTACGAAGGTTGAGAAACACTGGTTCAGTTTGAAACTGCACTATTTGGCAGTGTAGATTGGGCTTTTGTGAGCTGACCATAAATGACTTGACACTGAGGCATGCACATACCATATTCAGAAGGCCCCATCCATCCAATTCACCATGTTCATAATAATTTTAAACTAGAAAGAGAGCTAATGGCTGGCCACCTCACTGTGAGCCTTGTGGACTCTCTTCTTTTAAATCATCATGCCAAACACATGGAGCCAAGGGGAGGGAGCCAGCAGAAGCTATGATGTTGGAGACAGATCCCCAGGAAATACATTAGTTCTGCTCCCTCTGTGCATTTATCAATCATACGAGTGGAAGTTCATGAGTGAAGACATATCTGTGCAACACATTCTCTGAACATGCCAAAAGTGCTTTCCAAAGTAAAAGTAGTACAATGCTGCAAAAAAATTGATTGGTTTTTCAGTATCCATGTTTCTTGCTCCTAGCGTAGCCCGTGTTTGGGACAATGTGTTTACCATCCCTCAAAGTATGAGGCAACCAGTCCTTCAGGAATTATGACCCATGCAGGGGCTCTTTCACACTGAACAGTGTGAAATGCCACTTTAATATATACATGGCTGCATCCTATGTAAACCCAGGATATGTAGAATTGTGAGGCACAACAGCTCTCTGGCTGAGAAATGCCTTTTTCTGTGATTCCATAGGATGCTGTCGGGCTAGTTCAAATTGAACAACTTAAGCCCTTTTGCCCATAGCTTTCAGTAGGAGGATTAATTAACTCTCTCTTGTTTCAGTTTATGAAGCTTGCAAAGTCTTGATTACTTTATGTCACTTATACGTTGCAAAAATGTGATATGAGTTTCTGACTTCTGATCACTGCATGGAGGGTGTCAGTATAACAAATGAGAAAATGAATTATTAATAAAATGCCAGGTTTTTTTTGGCAATGCTGTTGTAGTCATGATGAGTTCTATCCAGAAATAAAGTAAAAGGTGGGTTGACAATGGTATAGTCCATTTTATAGCTCAGTCTTCTGCCAACCTGGTGCTCCCTGTGCATTAGTCTTCATTGCCCTGTGGGCTGGAGATGATGAAGGTTATAGTCCAAAACATTGGATATGAATTTAGCTTCTTTGCTGGAACAACAGACCTGTCTACATGTCTAAGAGAGCTTTTTCATGAAAACCAACTTCAGGTATGCAATTGTAAGGAAAATGATAGTCATGCAAGCCAATGCAACATGGTTCTGCCACAGGCCCCATGAAGAAGCATCAATCCCTTGCTCTTTGAGGTACTCATCTCCAAGGCACCTGTAAAGAAGAAGAGGTTTAGAGAATTAGCCCACAGTTCATAATATGCTACATTCATCAAAGGCACCAGATCTCATCTGATCTTGGAAAGTAAACACAGTCATCCCTGGTTAGTACTTGGATATGAGACTGTTGGCAAATATCAGGTGCTGGAGGCTATATTTCAGGGGAAGGAACTAGGAAAACCACCACTGAGTAGTCTTTTCCCTAAGAAAACCCTATGAAATTAATGGGGTGGCCAAAAGTGACTTGAAGGTACATAAACAGACATAACACTGACCAACACACATTTTGGTGCTTCAAATGGTAGACCTCTTTCTTAGTATATTTGACCTGCTGGTTCCAAAAATGGCACCAGTTTTCCCATATCAGCTGTAGTTTTTGAGATACAGAACATCTACCAGCCATCATCTCCTCACCGATAGAAAATCATGATAACTATATATAAGAAACTCGAGCTTATGCAATCAATCTGTTCAATGCAATTCTATCATGTGCTTTTTATCCTAAGAACAGACAAGCATCTCGAACTCTGAAGATTACATGGAGCATTGTAGCACATCCAAATACCTGGGAGTTACCCTGGACCAGTTGCTGACTTCTCACATAAATGGATTCAAGAGTGTGTCCATTAATGTTACCATTATCCTAGTATGCCATATAACATTGAAACTCATAGTATTCCTTTCTGTTCTAATGCTGTTTTGAGTTTGCAGGTCTCCAAAAATATACATCAACATGACTGATTCTCTTGCTAGGATTAGGGATGCTTCCAAATTACTGGCTATGACTGTTTAAAATAAAAAGGGCATTGTACTTACTTGAGAAGTGTACTATTATCTACACAGTAAGAACTATTCAAATTGTTCCTCGGGCCACAGAAATCAAGACCAGTAAATTCATTAATCTGGAGTGCCTTTAAAAGTAAGGAATATATTCACTGAGTTAAAAAAGGCATATATGCACCAAATATAATAACTAGGCAACATAATAATCTGACTAATAATCTAGTTCTATGTGGAATGGCATTTTTTATTTATAAAGACAAATTTAAACCCCATGATAGAGCAGAACAGAAAAGCTTCTCTCCCCATTCATGCCTAGTATTTAATTTTGAAAAATCCACAGTATCACTGCTAATTATTTCATTAACGTAATATGTAGTTATGGTTTCAGTGAGCTTAGTGGAAGGCAAAAGGAAGAGGGGCCGACCAAGGGCAAGATGGATGGATGGCATCCTTGAAGTGACTGGACTGACCTTGAGGGAGCTGGGGGTGGTAACGGCCGACAGGGAGCTCTGGCGTGGGCTGGTCCATGAGGTCACAAAGAGTCGAAGACGACTGAACGAATGAACAACAACACATTAGTTGTTGAAGTTCAGTTTCACCAAAACAGAAGGGGAATTGTTTCTTTTTTAACTAGTGTGGGATACAGGATGATCCCTGTGGCATTTTGTTCTTACTTCAGTCTTTTGCAAAACAGCTTTACATAATGACTTATCATTCAGTTAACATTCTGCAGCTAACACTGTGCCAAGGCAGGATGATTTGTTGGACAACAGTTCCCATCATTCCCAGGCAAGATGGGCATTGGTCATGCTTGCTGGGGTTACAAGACTTGTCATCCAACACATCTTAAAGATTGTCATCAGGCCTGGAAAAGCTGTTTTAAAGAGCACCAAGGACAATAAAAAATACTCTCAACACTTATCGCGTTTTTCCTCTTTTAAAATCCATCTTGCTATGAATATGCTTTGTTTAAAATATGTGTCTATCAGCAGGAGAATGGAGAAGCAGAAGGATAGACAAGGAGTTACTCAATATACAAATGCTCAGTGATCCATGTTGCATTCCTACCCAGTTCCTAAAAGGTTTTGTTTTAAAAAGCAACTAATAGCCCTAACTGTGTCAATTCTACAGGATTATATTTGATTGACTGGCCAAGCATCAATGTGAAATTATGGGACCAATAAAGTAAGGCTTGAGCTAGTCTGATGAGTAGTTTCAGATCACTACTCCATTATCAATAGAAGTGATGCTTTCTGAATAACATTTTGCAGCCTACTGTACAAGATAGCGTTATACTTACTGTCATGCCATATCGAGGAATGCTGAAATACTGGAGCCAAGAAAGCCAAGGCAGGATGCTGGTGAGGTTTACCAACAACCCAGAGAAAATCTGGAGATAAAACCATAATTGAGTATTTTAAAGTATATATAGTAGTATCATTGTATTAAACCAGAATCCCTCTCTCCACCTAAAAATATGTTTGTGTTTAATTCAAAATGCTGATATGTCTCATAAGGCAAATAGAGTCAGTTAGCTGTACATCTCAGCAGCAAACAGATAAATATTAGTTTATTTATTTACAGTATTTATATTCCTCCCTTCTCACCCTAAAGGGGACTCAAAGCGGGTCACAGAACACATATATGGCAAACATTCAATGCCGGTTATACAATGACAAAACAGACACCATAGAGAGAGGTATATACAAGCGTTCCCATCTTTCAGCATCTTGGAGGCTGTGCTCAGTTCCAGCCAAAGGGGCGTGGTGTTGCTCCATCTTCCCTGCCGAAGAGCTTTTTTGTTTGTAAACTTTCTCCTTTTTGATACAATTGCCATGCCTAAATACCTCCCAGATTTTAATGCGGTCCCTATTTATCTACTCACATTGCTGATTTTGATTTGCTAGGTGGGTGGGGAGCTGAGCTGAAGGTTAGGAACTCACCCTAACCCAGGCTTTGAACTATCAACCTTCTGGATCTCCTTTGTAGTGGCAATAGTCCCTCCATAAATGGGGCCTCAAACGTGCCTCCAGTCTATGTAGGGTCAGCAAGTTATATGTTCAGAGAGTGACATAACTCAGTTTTCCAGTTCTTTCAAGTGACAAATGTCACGAAACTTTCAATTTTCCAAGCCTAGTGAAATGGCCAGAAAAAATACTCACAATCATGAAAACAAAGGCAATGGTCATGAGCAGATTTGCCACAGACACCACACTTTGCCCGGCAGCAATAGCAAGTGCCATGGAAGTAGCAGTGTAGGAGACCATCATCATGGTAAACATCATTATAAAGAAGGCTGATGCCGTTGGTTTAAAACCTGTGTGGACACAAAAAAAGAAGAGTGTTAATCTTTGCCTTTTCTTTGTCAAATAGTAGACCACATCTGTTAGTGTCAACTTACCTACTTCCCATTGATTCAGTGAGCTTCTCTACATGGATCTAGCAACTGAATTCAGTCCATTAAAACACCCTTTATTTTCATTTAGATGCTTTTTAATTTTTCCATAAGTCCTGCTTTTAAAAAATCTCACTTGTCCTAGCAACAACTACCTGAGATTGAAATTGGGTTGCTGTGAGCCGAGGGCTGGTCTAAAGGAATGGGAACCAGCCCTCGGCTTAAAAAGTTTGAAAACTTCTGGAACACGGCTATACAGTTGGGAAAACTCATAGCAACTCAGACATTCCAGCCATGAAAGCCTTTAACAACACATTGAGATTGAAATGGATTAGCAAAGTTATTTTAGAGCAGGCGTCCTCAAACTTTTTAAGCCAAGGGCCAGTTCACAGTCCCTCAGACTATTGGGGGGCAGAGGGGAGAGCGGACTACAGTTTGAAAAAATCTATCTTATTTGTTTTGCAAAAAAAAAAACCCATGAAAGCACAATACAATATTACAAATGAAAAACAGTTTTAACCAACCTAAACTTACCAGTATTTCAGTGGGAGGTATGGGCCTGCTTCTGGCTGATGAGATAGTCAAGTTAATTAGGACTGTTTGTTGTTGTGTGTGTCTTCAAGTCATTTCAGACTTAGGACGATCCTAAGTCTAAAGTTTAGGGTAGAAGGCGAGTAAATAGCCTTGGAGGGCTGGCATCCAGCCCACTGGCCTGGGTTTGGAGACCCCTGTTTTAGAGGGAAAACTCAAAAACTTTCCAAGAACTTTGTGTCTTTGAGATCAGATTTGCAAATCAAGCCCATGTTTATCTCCGGCAACCAAGCTCATTTGCAAAATGCAGATATAAGGATCAGATGTCTTACCACTTCAGGGAACACTGCTTTTAAATGCAGAGCTAATCCTGGCATCTGACTCTACTTTACTCAGATTTCACCTTCTTTTGATATCACGTATACCAGCAGCAAACTCAGTGCTCAGAGAGTGGATCTTTATAAAGCCACAACTATACCATCCATGCTCAAGAAGTAGGCTTCAAAGGTTTTCCCTGGTATTAAGTCTAGTCGTGTCCCACTCTGGGGAGGAGGGAATGCTCATCTCCATTTCTAAGCCAAAGAGCCAGTGTTGTCCATAGACGCTTCCAAGATCATGTGGCCGGAATGACTGTATGGAACACTGTTACCTTACTACAGAACCAGTCCCTATTGATCTACTCACATTTGCATGTTTTCGAACTGCTAGGTTGGCAGAAGCTGGGGCTAACAGTGGGAGCTCACCCAACTCCCCGGATTCAAACCACCAATCTTTCAGTCAGCAAGTTCAGCAGTTCAGCGGTTTAACCCGCTGCATCATCGGGGGGGGGGGGGGCAGGATTGGAATAGCATCAAATAAAGTATAAAAACTTTACAGAGAAAAAGTCCTCAAGGAAGGGAGAACAATCCACTGAGACCATTCAACAGGCCACAGAATCAATACTGGTTGGTTTCCACATCTACAGATTAAGCACCAAAGATTCAACCATTCATGTCTTGGAAATAATTTCTTCAAAATATCCAGAAAGTAAATCTTGATTTTGCAATTTTATATAAAGGACAGGATCTTACATCACCAATATATATAATGGTACTTGAGCATCCACAGATTTCAGTATCCACATTGGGTCCTGGAACCAAACCCCAGTGGATTACTGAGGGCCTATTGCATTGTATCAGAAGGCATAACTGACTACTTGAAAACCTGCATTTCAGTCCACCCCACTGCAATATTGTATTGCAGGTTAACCCTGAAATCGTCTACTGTACAGCTTCGAGAACAATATATTAATATAAATTAGTGTTACTTACCTATCATGAAGTAAACAATGCATGTGAAAATGATGCTTGGTAAAGTTCTCATGGGTATTAAATCAGCCATTAGTTTTGAAAAGAAATATGCAGAAATTCTGTAGTATCCACTGATATATTCATGACTAAAATACAATGACAAAAATAAAATCAGTTAGTTAAAAAACATCACCCAGAAGCAGCCAAAGAAACAGACATTGTGTGCACTCCCTTCAACTGTTGTGAGAGCTTTTATCTGGAAAAGTGAGGGTCAATGGTTTTTAACAGAGACACTTCTGCTCTTTCCTGAACTGCGTAGTTGTCATATAAAGGAGACCACTGATAGGACACGTATTTTGTCACAAAATTAGTGTTATATTGTTTTTTTGCTGTTCATAACAAACTATTCATACTTTTAAAGTTACTTCTGCATAACTATAGTTCCTTTCTGAATCCCATCATTTTGTTTCCTCGTTGTCCCACTGAGGACCTTTCCAGACAGGTCCTATATCCCAGGATCTGATCCCAGATTTTCTGTTTATCCCAGATTATCTATCAGTGTGGACTCATATAATCCAATTTAAAGCAAAAAAAAAAAAAAACCAAAAAAACTTGGATCTGATCCTGGGATATTGGGCCTGTCTGGAAGGACCCTTACCGAAGGTTTTTTAATAAGTGGTTCAAATTTCAAATGACTAATTACAAGAATTTAAGTCTGCTGCAGCTCCACCTACACCCCAAAGTCACATTTGATGAGATAGCAAGAAAAGCTTTGTTTATGATCACAAAGAAGTATATTTCTAGTATTAGTGTCTCAATAGGCTCCTCTCAATTGACAGTCAGCATGACCTACTCAGTGGTGGTGTACTTACATAAATATTTTCTTCTCCACGATAAACAGTTCAATGGCAGAGATGCTGCTGAAGCACTGGTTAGTGGTCAAAAAGAACATGGCACCAACTCTGTGGAAAAAATACAGATCATCTCCATAAAAATCAATAAAGGAAAATCAGACTTTGGGGGGGGGGGGGAACATTTGAAAGAAGCCACTATTATCTCTGTCTTCATACGCTTCTTAACATTTCCCTGATTTGAGCAACTTGAGAAACTGCAAGTCGCTTTTGGTCTGAGAGAATTGGCTGTCTGCAAGGATATTGCCCATGGGACACCCTAATGTTTTGATGTTTTACCATCCTTGTGGGAGACAATGGGAGTTCATCCAAACTCTACCTGGATTCGAACCTCCGACCTGTCGGTCTTCAGTCCTGCCAGCACAAGGATTTCACCCAATGCACCACCGGAGGCTCCTGAATGTCCTCACAGGATCCTCTCTACCACTCGACCCTCTTTTTAGTCCATTTCCAGCTGATGACTGCACCAATGGTGTAACCCAATATATGCCACCTTCTGATTACTTTTCTCCCAAGACTCTAAACCAGAGCTTTCCAAACTATGTGTCATGATACATTACTGTGTCTGCTGCAATGTGTAGATGTGTCACATGAACATAACGCAAAACCTTTGAGTCTCTGTGAAGTAAGCAATAAAGAGTAAAGGCAAAGATCCACCCAGAGGAAAAATATTCTTACTATACATCAAGGGAACCTCTGAATGTGTTGGGAAGCTGATGAAGAAACACAACCTACAAACTATCTACAGGTCCATCAAGTAAATCCAACAAATGATACATTCACCAAAGGACAACAGGTATCCTCTCACCTCTGCAGGAATTTACTGTATACCATTTTTTTTGTTGTGTCAGGAGCAACTTGAGAAACTGCAAGTCGCTTCTGGTGTGAGAGAATTGGCCATCTGCAAGGACATTGCCCAGGGGACGCCCGGATGATTTGATGTTTTTATCATCCTTGAGGGAGGCTTCTGTCATGTCCCCGCATGAGGAGCTGGAGCTGATAGAGGGAGCTCATCTGCCTCTCCCCGAATTTGAACCTGCGACCTGTTGGTCTTCAGTCCTGCCAGCACAGGGGTTTTACCCACTGCGCCACCGGGGGCTCCATACTGTATACCATGCAGCTGCGGACAAATCTACATAGGGGCCATCAAAAGGAGCAGCGCTGCCCAAATACGAATCAAGGAACATGAAAGGCACTGCAGACTAATTCAACCAGAGAAGTCAGCCATAGCAGAGTACTTGATGAACCAGCCTGGACACAGCATAGTACTTGAGAACACAGAAATGCTGGACCACTCTAACAACTACCATGTCAGACTACACAGAGAAGCCACTGAAATCCACAATAATGTGGACAATTTCAATAGAAAGGAGGAAACCATGAAAGTGAACAAAATCTGGCTACCAGTATTTTAAAAAACTATAAAATCAGGACAGTAAATCAGGAGCAACACTCAAAAAACAGGGGAATTCCAGACAAGAATCAATCAGGGCCAGCAAATACCTCCAAACATAGAATCCACCTAGGCAGCAACCAGACAGGCTATGAAGCTACAAGGTCATTAAATGCTAATCAAGTTGGCCAACAGCAACATTCATACTTGCCTGAAGCAGACAAGAGTTCTTTCTCTCACTCTGGGCATTATTCCACAGAGATATAAACCTCACTCGCCTAGTTTCCAACAGATCTCACAATCTCTGAGGATGCCTGCCATAAATGTGGGCAAAACGTCAAGAGAGAATGCTTCTGGAACATGGTCATACAGCCCAGAAAACTCACAACAACCCGATAATTCATGCATTTTAAATATATATTTATGGACAATTTTCAAAAATTTCATATGTTTCTGTATGTTTAATTACAACAACTTATGCATGTGGCCGTATCTCTTATAAGGGATTGGTTTAATCTTCCATTTGCTAGTAAAACTGGATTACTGTGTTGCAAAATGATTCATGCCTAAAAAGTGTCACCAACAGGAAATGTTTGGAAAGCTCTGCTCTAGGTTCTCAGTGGGAATGAGCGCAGGTTTGCATAAGGCAATAGAAAAGGCAAGAATAATAAAAGCAAAACCTGTAGAAATCTAGAAATTTAAGGGAGTAACTGGAGCAAAAAATGGCAAAGAAATTGAAGTGCAAAGTGATTGGAGTAAGGACAGAATCCTGTAACATGCTGTATTTTTGAGTCCTTAATATTTCGTAAGAGGGAGCTGTAACACTGGCTGCCTCACAACGTAATGAAAAACATAACATTCATTTTATCATCCAACAGCCTAAAAACTACTCACCTGTTCTGCATACCACTAGAGTTATATTTGGCATCAAAGAATATGGCACCTACGACCAGCCCCAGGAAAATGGTGACACACAGCTGAAACATAAAGTGACATTGATTTACATGCAGTATTGGTGCAGACTTCACTAGATGTCAACTACAGAACTGTAGACAAATATAACTGTAAAATAACATAGAAGGGTTATTATAGGGCATATTTATTATGCCATCCCATAAAATCACAGAGATCGAGACTAAGCCTCGAGGAGGAAGAGAAGGATAAATGGTGGGAGGAAAGAGTGGAGAATAGAGTAGATTGACTAGAATAGCCTGAAACTCACACTGAGCATTTATGGGACTTGTTGTTGTTGTTTGCCTTCAAGTTGTTTCAATTCCATCATTGGTGGAGTTCAGAATGCTCTATGATTAACTATAAATCCCAGCAACTACAACTCCTAAATGAAAATCAATCCCCCCCCCCCCCCCAACCCCACCAGTATTCAAATTTGGGTGTATCAGATATTTGTGCCAAGTTTGGTCCAGTAAATGAAAATACATCCTGCACATAAAATATTGACATTAGGATTCGTAACAGTAGCAAAATGACAGGTATGAAATAGCAACAAAAATAATTTTATGGGGATTATTTGGGGGTTGGGGGCAATTTTGTCATTTAGGAGTTGTAGTTACTGGGATTTATAGTTAACCTGCAATCAAAGAGCATTCTGAACTCCACCAAATATGGAATTGATCCAAACTTGGCACACAGAACTCCCATGACCAACAGAAAATACTGGAAGGGTTTGGTGGGCTTTGGCCTTGAGTTTTGGAATTGTAGTTCACCAATGGAGTAAAGGCTTTTTAAAATGTTGGACTCGATTCTGGAGGTAGTGGAGTAAGCATTTGAACTCCATTTTAGGCAGAAAAAAGTAATTAAACTTCACATCAAAAACGTAAGCAGAGATCATTAAAATTTCAGCTTAAATGGTAGTATCAGGCATTTTCGTTCATGTAAAAAAAAAGAAAAAAGAAGAAGCAGAACTTGAACCTTAGCACCGAAGAGCCCTCCAACCATGGTACCGTAGTGCTAAGTACCTGCCGAAAAGACCAAATGTCAAGGATAATCCAACCGCTAAGCCAATTGTGGTGGAAAACAAGGATCATAGCAAGGCCAATTTGAGAAGCTTAGCCCAGGGGGCTCAGCAGACTCTGGAGCATTTGAAGACTGCATTTCAAATCCATTCCTAATGAGGATATAGAGATCAAACAGGATGGGGAAGGCATGATGGGCTGAGTGTGGGAGTCAGGACTCTTAACCCTGGAAGATTAGAAGGCTCCAAAAAGGGCATAATTCTTGTCACAAGGTCAAGCTTTTACAAAGCAATTAAGAAGGATCTCCATAATATCAACATACACACAAAATCAAAGGCTGAGGCTCAGGGATTCAGAGCAGATTTTGGTCCTGTCGAAAGCAAAGCTTTAAGAAGAAAACAAATAGAGCTAATGATGTCTTTAATAAAGCCTCAGTCAGAAGGACCAACCAGGCCCGGGGCTCTGCTGAACTATATCCACCAATTGTTCTCATTTGGCAGGGACAGACCAAATGAATCTTCTGCTGTCTCACCTTTTCAGCTGCTTTTAAAAGATTCGAGTTTCCTCCTTTTCTTGCCTTTGTCTCGCATATTCCAAATTATGATGACAAACAGTGAAAGCAGAATTAATGATAGGAATGATAGTGTGATGGCACCCCCAAGCATTTGGGAAAAACTATAGTGTCTGGCTTTACTCGGGGGCTATCTGTATAACTTCTGTTACGATTAAGACCCTTAACAGACAGAAGCACTTTAGGCAAGGTGAAAAGATAATAAAAATGAGTTTACTGAAAACAAGATGAATAAAGGGTTAACTCCACCCGGGACTATTCTAAGATAGTTTAAAACAATACATTATAAAAGGAGATTCTGCTGGTTTCAGTCATCTCTCTGGAGTCTTTGAAAGTCTCCTGTCTCTGGTGCAAAGCGATGGTTTACCAGCTGGTGCTCATAAGCTGTCTCAATCTTCTTCATTGTGAAGTTTAAACTGGTCAAAAGCTTCTGTTGTCTCTGGGACTAATGGTATATATGAATACTGGCTGAATGCAGGTGCTAAGGATGCCTGTTTTGGATGGCTTGGGTCTTGGATTACCAGACAATGCCCAAGCATTGCTCTGCTACAGAAAAGGGGAGGAGTCTAGCAAGAGAGTACTGTACAGGCAAATGGAATAAACCAATTAAGGCTGGCCTCTAGGGAGTTTTTATGCTCCACCCAAAAGCTAATACAAAGAAAGGTACACTATTGAGAAAACCTATAAACAGGGGGAACTAAAGCAGAGGAGAGGAAAAGGCAGAGCCAAGACTTCACAGATAGGAGTTGCAGTGGCACAAAGGCTTAAACCACTGAGCTGCAGAACTTGTTGACCCAAAGGTCAGAGGTTTGAATCCGTAGAGCGGGGCGAGATCTCATCATTAGCCCCAGCTTCTGCAAATGTGAGTAGATCAATAGGTACCACTCAAGCAGGAAGGTAACAGCACCATGCAATAATGCCAGCCGCATGACCTAAGAGATGTCTACAGACAACGCCAGCTCTTCAGCTTAGAAATGGAGATGAGCACCACTCCCCAGAGTCAGACATGACTAGACTTAATGTCAAGGGGAAACCTTTACCTATGTTATATGAACATGCCCATTATATTTCTGCAGTTCCCAAGAAAACCTCTGTGATAAGAGTTGCCTTAGGATCACCATAAATTGAAAATTATTTGAAGACACACAACAAGAACAATCAATCCCTAAACGAAAAAATGGAGAATGAACATGGATGCCAGTGAAATTTTCTAAGGTTTTGGGACAAACATTGATGTCATCTGGACCTTGAATATGCAGTTCATACTTCTCTCCTCCACAAAAGAATCCATTTGGAAAAATCCAAACCTAAAGTCAGTTTTTTTTCCATAACCAAAATGGTGGTGATGAGAGAAATGGGTCAACATATATAGAATACAACAGAGCAGGGATGGATGGCTTACATTTATTTCTTGGAGGAACCGACACTACCAGCTTTGTAAGTAAGTGTAAATGAGTATATATGTTGAAATAAAATGATCAATATCCTATAGAACACATTTAAATGGCTAGGATTACCTGTGCTATAGAGGCTTGCGGGTTGCCTAGCAAATTTTTGAAAGTCCGTTTTGAGACCCATTTGAGCTGGTGGCAGAAGGATGTGATATAGGTGATCTGTCGGAATATGGGCTCTCTTTTGCTTGTTGGGAAAGATAACTTTTCCAGCTCAGCTTTTGTTTCTTGATAGTAGTGTGAGCTGGCATACGTCTCCGCTAATTGATCTGCCAATGACTTATCACGATCAAGATGCTCATCGATGTTATCTGTAAAGTAAAGAGACAGGAGGGCATTTCTATGTTTACTCAGCTCCTCTGGATCAGTAGGAGTCACACTCAAGAGCTCTGTTCCTCTTTTCTGGTTTGATTTTCTTATGTCTGAATGGAAGAAGCAACCACCGAAATAATTTACCCTAAATCATATTAACAAACATTGTGGGTAACGGTAAATACTCATGTAAAAACCAACATAGAGTTGCTAGTTTGAGAAAGCTATGAATAGGATGGGCTATATATTAGAATCCAGCAGGACCAAATGTTTATTTAGAGATGAAAAAAGGGTCCTAATTTGAAAAGGGGGATAACATTAAAACACAGTGAAATAAGAACAACAGCAGGTTAAACCACCAGCTGCAGTAAATCTTGTCAGTCAAAAGGCTGCAAGTTTGAAGCCTGGGTCAGGGTTGTTGGAGGTTGTAAATGTAAATAAACAGAAGCTTTACCACTGTTTCTGAACCAAAATATACCCTGCAGTATAATAATGTGTCACTCAGATTTGTGTAATGAGAAACAGTAACTTTACTTCAGTTCAAAAGGTCAAACAGAGCAACAATATGTACAGCAGTCTCTGAATTCTTACAGAGAACAGAGGGAATAAACAGTCCTTTTTAAATAGTCCTTAAAATATGCTTCATGCCTTAGAAATTATCAGGCTTCATAGAGTTGGCAGCCATTTCCTTCCTGGCTGTTTCCAGTCAGCGCTCTCTTCACTCTCTGAGTTGAAAATGTCAGTTAAAACCATTTCTCTCAGCAGCAAGCTAGAGACAGTAGCCAATCAGAATTCTGGCTCCTGGCATGCTCGGCCAATCAGCTGCCGAGACATACCTTTCCTGTCAACCCATTAGATTATGGTGCCTTTTTACAAATCCCCACAAGGGTGAGCTCCTGGCCTTTAGCCCAGCTTTGAAAGCAAAATGTGAGTAGATAAATAGGTACTGATTAAAAAGCAGGGAGGTATTCTGAGGCACCCATAAAGAATGCCAGCAATTTGATCAAAAAGGGGAAAGTTACAAATCTTTGTCAGGGAGATGGAGCAACAGCATCTGCCCATGGCCAGAACTGAGCCCAAAGCATTCAAAATAATAATAATAATAATAATAATAATAATAATAATAATAATAATAACAACACTTTCTTTATATTCCGCCCTTCTCACCCCAAAGGGGACTCAGGGTAGATCACAGTACATATACACAACAAACAATACACAGACAATACACAGACAGACAGAACAGAAGGAAGTGCCATGGAAGGTTGGGCTAGAGTCCAAGGGGTGCTATTGCTCTTTCCTCTATGACAAAGAGCCGTCAGGACTTCTTCCTTCCTTTTGGTCATCCAGCATTTTCTGATCTTCTTTCTTTATGGTGTCGTAAAACACCTCCCCCACTATTTAGCGGTACCTAATTTCTCTAATTGCAGCTAAAGCTGTTTTCGAATTGCTTAGGTAAACAATGAGCTAGGCTGATAGTTGGCAGCTCACGCCAACCCAGGGCTTCAAACTTGCAACCTATTGGTTGAAAGATCTTATAATTGCTGAAGATTTACCAGCTGTGCTAAACCTCTGGCCCAAAGATGCAGATGTTTGGAAAAAGCTGATATATATATATACTTCTATCTATGTATAATCATCTGTCTTGCTTGTGTATAAAAAAGGCATTGAATGTTTGCCACATATGTATATTCTGCGATCTACCCTGAGTCCCCTTTGGGGTGAGAAGAGCAGAATATAAATACTGTAAATAAATAAACAAAAAATATCATAAAAAAGTAATTCAGCAAAAATATTTAAAAAGCCAAAAATAAAGAATAAAAAAGACGTGAAACATAAAGGTGCTGATATCCATTGATATCCAGGAATATTGAGCATAGATAAATAATAAAATAGCTTCCAGTTCTAATAAGGTTCTTGTTCTTCTAAAACCAAACTTCATTTTGCACATTACCTATATCAATTTCCTCAGTCTTGTTTGAAGTCACCGCTGTCGAGTCTCCATTAATGACATCCAGAAAGAAATCAGTGGGGTTGTTATATGGTTCACATTCGTAACCTACAAAGAAATAAGAAATAAAAGGACCTCAAGTGATATGGCAGTCAGTGCAACATCTATGGCAAATCACTTGGGATAAACATCTTGGGATAAAAGCATTTCTTAATAGTAGCCAGATTCCAAATTAACAGTAGGGGTTGGGTCAAATAGAACTCTTCCAAGTTCATGGATTGGCCATAAGGAACATCAGCATCAAAAATCAGGAGCACAGACACTCATTCTTGGTCAGTGTTGCATCATTAGCAGTTCAAATCCAGGGAGCAGGGTGAGCTCCAGGGAGCAGGGTTAGACCCAGCTTCCACCAACCTAGCAGTTCGAAAACATGCAAATGTAAGTAGATCAATAGGTACCACTTTTGCCGGAAGGTAACGGCATTTCATGCCGTCATGCTGGCCACATGACCTTGGAGGTGTCTACGGGCAACGTCGACTGTTCGGCTTAGAAATGGAGATGAGCACCACCCCCCAGAGTTGGACATGACTAGACTTAATGTCAAGGGGAAAGGCATTGTATAAGTTTTGTTTTTCCCGCTTTGGTGAACACTTTGTTGTAAGGAGGAAAAAAAGAGAAAGCCACAGGAAAGCACCGGAAGCTTACTGATGGCACCTCCTTTCTCCACCACCTTGAAATCTGGTTTTCAGGGAAAATAAGGTACAGAATAATAGCCCCATCTCAAAGCACAGTTAGACATGGCCATCTTTCATGATGTCAGGAGATCAGGGAACAGATTGTTTTCTAATATATTTTCCTTTTTTTGAGTGTACGTGCTTTCCAGTCACCTATCAGCCTATAGCATTCCCATGAATTCTATAGGGTTTTCTAAGGTAAGAAATATTCAGAGGTGGTTTTGCTAGTTCCTTCCTCTGAAGTATAGTATACAAACAAAACCTAGTCCTCATAACTGGTCTTCCATCCAAGTACTAGTCAGAGCTGACCACAGAAGTATTCAAAAGGTTTGGCACATTTTGGATCAAACATGTGCACGCGTACATATGCCCTGTAAACACTTACTAACCCAAAAGTATTCTCCACAAAGTTAGTATTGGTTGCAAACAGAAATGATAAAGTTGCAATAAAAGTACTCTATGTAATCATGCTTTTATTTATTTCATATCAAAAGCATTGCATAAATTAGTATAAAACTGATAAAAATAGAAGGTGTGCAGGTAGTTAAATATCTTTTGACCAAAAACAGGCATTGTCTGTAGCCTCCAACAATTCCTCCTCTGTACATGAGGCAGGGCACAATGGACAAGCATACAGATGCAGAGTTGTCTGTTGTGCTCCACATAATCACGCTAGGTTGACAGCACATTTACATAGAAAAGACAGTAAAGCTGGGGAAAGCATTAGTCTATAGGAAAAGGAAAAAATCATGTTATAGATGGATTGATTGAAACAAGAAAGCCTGTGTTTGCAAAAATTGCAGGGTTGTTGATGGCCCCTGAAGGTCTCTCATTCATAGTGTTGCCCAAAATCATCTTGACAGCAAGTTACAGCAGTACTTGGAGATCCCGTCCCAAATCATTGATGTTTTGGCCTTCTGTGCTATATGGTATTCGGTAGAGTGGCTTGTGAAAACCTACCAATGGACTTGAAGTAATCCAGGGCATTCTGAGCAGGTCCATGATACAGCATTCTTCCTGCAGCCAACAAAGTCAATTGATCAAATAGTCTGAAGATGGAGTACCGAGGTTGATGGATGGAAAAGATTATTGTTTTTCCCTGCTTTGACATCCTGCAGGGAAAGCAGCCAGAAGAAGAAGAAAGAGGTCAATGGGCTACCAATGTTTATGATACACAGTCATAATAGTTTGATTTCACTTGAACTGTCCTGACTTCAAAAGGCAGCTACAAACCCACACTGTTCGAGGAAAGGCATGAACTGTACCTAACAAAAGAATTCAGTAAAGAATATAAAAAGAAACAGAAGACATAGCTCACTCATTCAACAGCTATGCAGTATACATTGTTTATCAGGTTTGTCGGAAGCAGACTGGGAGACTGTGAAAAGGGTTAGGTCTCATTAAAGAATGTTCAGATTCCTAAACCTCTTCCTGGAATAATAAGGATAGCCACAATAACACTAATAACTAAGAAAAAACATGGGCTATGCATATCCACAGACAGAGAAATAGATGGTCTAGGTACAGTACTAAAATTTGCTTTATTTATTGCAGTTGTATCTCACATTTAACCTAAGTAGCTCTGGGATGCATACGTGGTCTTTACCCAAGTCAGAACATGCTTATGAGGTAAAGCAATCTAAGAATACATTTACACTGCAGAATAAAGGCAGTCTGACACCACTTTAAATGCCATGACTCAAATGAATTGTGGGATGTGTAGTTTAGTGAGGCACCAGTACGCTATGGCAGAGAAAGGCTGAAGTCCTTATAAAATTACAGCTCCCATGATTCCATAGCATTGAGCCATGTCAATTGAAGTGGTGTCAGATTGTAATGATTCTACAGTAGTGCAATGTGTTAAACCCTTGTGCCAGCAGGACTGAAGACAGACAGGCCAGAGGTTCGAATCCGGAGAGCACACAGATGAGCTCCCTCTGTCAGCTCCAGCTTCCCATGTGGGGACATGAGAGAAGTCTCCCACAAGGATGGTAAAACTACAAAACATCAAGGCATCCCCTGGGCAATATCCTTGCAAACGGTCAATTCTGTCACACCAGAAGCGACTTGCAGTATCTCAAGTGACTCCTGACATGAAAAAAAATTCTACAGTGTAGATGCACCCTGAGAAAGCATCGCTAACATATCGCAAATTGGCTTGCTGTGAGTTTTCTGGGCTGCATGGCCATGTTCCAGAAGCATTCTCTCCTAATAAATGGTTCTGGAAACATGGCCATACAGCCTGGAAAACTCACAGCAACCCAGTAATTCTGACTATGAAAGCCTTCAACAACACATATCACAAATGAACCCACAAGTGTATATGCCTTGTTCTTGATTAATTGCTCTGGTCTTCTCTTTTGCAGTAGTATGGAACTTCTTTCCAAAAGAAGTCCTTATTTTCTTGTCACTGCTTTCTTTCTACAGCCAGGAAAAACTCTATTTGACTTCAATATGCCACACTTGATACCAACTTTCTAGCTTTTCCCACTTTTGAAAAATAGGGTTATAATCAAGCACCGCTTTATCATTGCATGTTAAATATTGGCACATTAATAAGCATTAAATGTTGTGGGACATTTTAAGTGTAAGAGTAAAGAAATAATTGTTAAATGCATTTTGAAAAAACAGATTTGAGTGCAAGTCCAATACACACACTTTCATTAAATCACACAACCAGGCTGGCTTGGACTCTTGCCTCTTTTTATTCCAGTTGAAGCAACCGCTGTCCAGTTTACTAGAGGCAGAATGGGGAACTATGCCACCTTGCGTAAACAATTACCTTTTGAGGAGCAATAGCACCGCATTGGCTGTGCTGGCATCCAATCCAGTGGTTGGCTCATCTAAGAACAAGACGGCAGGGTCGGTGATGAGCTCCATTCCTATATTCGTTCTTTTCCTCTCTCCTCCTGACACACCACGAATGAACTGGGTTCCAACCTAATGCAAAACAAGGATTTTCATAGCACCATCTGACCATATTATGGAAACCCTTTAAGACAGACTGGTTTCATATAGAAATGTTGATTTCAAACTCAAAAGCGGAAGTGGAGGAGGAGGGTATGATACTAAAATGTGCAGTAGCTCATTCTTGTCATGCTGAATGATGTTTTACACAACATTATGTTCAAAATACACAAATCTGCAAACAGTAGCTTCAAATGTTTAATTGGGTTTTACCAGCTTCCAAGACCTAATTACAAGTCCCCTGTTATCTGAGGTGACAAGGCCCTTTCCATTCTGGCACCCCACTTATGGAATTGTGTTCCCAGGAAGGTTTGTCTGGTGTCGTTTTTCTCTTCCTATTGGAAGCAGGTGAAATCTTTTTTACTTGCTAAGGACCTATATTCATCAACATATATTAAACTAAGATCATTATTGGCCCTCTTATATGTTGTATTTTGTTATGCACTTTTATTGCATAGTATTATTTTTATGATTGCAAGCTGTTCCAAGAATATTGGCTGGAGAACAGCTAATGAATATAGTAAATAAATGAAGTAGGAGTTGCTTTAGAAAATATTTAAAATGTCCTATTTTATGTTGGAGCATGCAAGGAATCAGTGAGTGTGTGTGTCAACTATAAAATAAGATGCATGAAGCTGATTGGTCGGGCAATGCCCAGGGAGCAGGCCGAGCCTGGGACTTTTGGATAATGTTACATTTTTGTTCAGGCTTGAGCTATGCAGGTGAAAAGAGAGGAGAAGAGAGAAGCAGAGAGAGAGAGTTTGAAGACTGTTGTGCTTTTGGCTGCTCAAAGAAGATCTTTTCACGTGGACAAAAGAAAGACTATTTTAATTATTTCATAAAAGGACATAATGTGAGTTGATACAACTGATTGCCTTGTACATATGTTGCTCTGAATTAAGAAGAGTAAACTACTTGTTCTTTATTATTCACCTGCATGGTATATTTTCTTTCTCTGGCAAGGTAGTGTGTAGGCTGATCAAATGTGAACTACAAGTGGTTTTTTTTTACATTATGCCACATTTTATTCATCCATGTGTATGTAAAGAAGTCCTATCAATCTAGAAATAAACCAGTGTAAGATTATGGACAGCAGTACGCAATTAAGTACTTGGCAACTCTTCTCTTTGGAAGTATTTCTTTGTTGCTGTGTACTATCAAATCAGTTATAACTTATGGCGATATTAAAGGTGAATTTATCACAGGGTTTCCTGGCAGAATTTGCTCATAGAGAGTTTCCTCTTACATTCCTCAGAGCCTGAGAGAGAGTGACTTTCCCAAGATCACCCAGTGGTTTTCCATGGCCAAGTGGAGATATAAACCCAGTGTTTGGTCCAGGACTCAAACAGCTATACAACGTCATAATACTTTGCATGTAGTACTTTGTAACAACAGATTTTGGAGGAGTCACTTTCTTGGAATACAACTCATAGACTTGCCTCCCAAAAAGAATGAATTCATAAATGGAACTATTTCATGCTCTTCAGTAAGCCATTACCTTTGAATCTGCCACTTTTGTCAAGCCCAGGTCATTGAGGATCTGGTCAATCCTTTCATTCTTTTCCCTCTGCCTCACAGTCTTTGATAATCGGAGGGCTGCTGAGAATTGGAGGTTCTCTCTCACAGTCAAGGTCCCCATCACCACATCATCCTGAAAAGTCCAAAGGAAATATATAGGCCACTCTACGCACATGCCTCCCTGAAGCACCCAAGAGGATCTCCATGCAAACACCCCTTGGCCCCTTGCTCTGCCATGCTAATGATGCACTTAATTCTTAATATACACAGCTTATGCTAAAAGGAAACTGGTCTACATACAAAACTAGTTGCTTCTGATTAATCAGTGGCTTGTGTGAATGGTAAAATAATAATATCAGAGATACAAATTTACCTGTACAACATATCCAGATATGCACTTGAAATTAGCCGGCTGAGGAGCACCATTAATGAGAACATCTCCACTCAGGCCATGAGGATCTTTCCTTGCAGCTAAAATGTCCAGAAGACTAGAAGAAGAAGATGAAAAAAACAAGTCTGTGTCACAGGTGACCTTATTATAATACACACTGGGGTCCAAACTAGAAATTGCAGCAACTGCGAATATTTTGTAAGGTTTTTGTTATATAAACAGGAGCCAATGGGACAGAGCATTATTAGAACTGCCTGTCTTGGACTGTCTTGAGTGCATCATCTTTCTGAAAGCTTCTACTTGTTTTTCAAAGAAAGCGTCTATAAACCCAATGAACACTTCTTTTGAAATGCAAATAATAGTTTCAGATACGCCATTTCTACCAAGACTGTCATACCAAGATTGTTTAGATGCCCACTCCAAAATCTTGCAATTCAAATTTGCTCAGGTTTTCCCCAGTCTGTGATTCACACAATAAGCTGCGCACTCACTTTACTCAGATACCCATATATACTTGAGTATAGGCCAACCCAAATATAAGCCAAGACACCTAATTTTACCACAAAAAACTGGGAAAACGTATTGGCTCAAGTATAAGCCGAAGGTGGGAAATGCAGCATCTACTGGTAAATTTCAAAAATAAAAATAGATAGCAATAGAATTACATTAATTGAGATATCAGTAGGTTAAATGTTTTTGAATATTTACATAAAACTGGAATTTAAGAAAAGACTGTCCAACTATGATTAAATCATTATTCTAACTTTCAATGTAAATGTGCTTACATATCCTTCCAATAATCATCATAGTTTATTTTAACTATACATTTTGGGGAAAATGCTGTGTGTATATCAATAAGGAAAAATGGGAAAGGCTGGCACTGGGAGAGGAGGAGAATAAGGTGTGTGCTTCACAAGAAAGGAGGAGAGGAGGGTGCACACTGCGCAAGAGAAGGGGAGAGGAGAAACAGGTGGGTTGCTGGGCAGAGAGGTGATGGTCTTGGCAGTAAGGCATGGACCCTCACCTCTCCATTTCTATCCCATGCCTTCCCGCCAGGACCCTCACTTGTGTATAAGTTGAGGAGGACTTTTTCAGCCTAAAAAAGGGCTGAAAAACTAGGCTTATATTCAAGTATATACAGCAATTCATACATTTCATTTGATTCTGAGGTTTATAAATAAGTGCCATAGTAGAAAATGCACAATGACATTTTCATGTGTGATTCAACACAAAGCAACAGATACTGTTCAGCTTCTTGCTCATTTTTGTGTGTATAGGTTAGATTAGCAAGAAAAAATGTCAAAAGAAACACTGGCAAAACATAAACAGCTACAAATGGGAGTCTGGCTTGTATATATTATCTACAGTAAGCTTCTGTGTTTGAAGAAGTACAGTTGTACACTAAAACCTTTGTTTGGAAACACTCGGGGCAACTATGTCAATAACTGTGGTAGGTTACAGCAAGGAACCCAGAAATCAATAGTACAGCTGTACCTTTTAGTTTTGAGTACCGCCAAGCAATGGTAAATAATGTGTAAAATAAGCCTATATTGGGCAACACCAGAACATCAGCTAAGATCATAACAGTAAACATCTTGATAGCAGGCTGTCATTCATCAGTACACAGTCGTTGTTGAGATAACAGCAAATATCACAGTGGAAGGGAGCTATGCCTACAACATTATACCAGAATTGCAGAAACAGACAAAAATTCTGGCAAAACTGTATGGAGTTGGACAAACACCTTCCTGATGTCTATGAAATCATGATTTTATCTTAAGAATTTGTGTTTAATATAAGTGAACACCTTTCATTAATTATTAGAAATTATACTGTTTAGCCGGTATTGCACTACCTGGCATCCATTGGGAAATAGCAGCCTGTAATGAAAGGAACGAGGCATTGCCATCTCCCGCCCATTCCCAGTTCAGATATCAGCCAGCAAGCCAATGTCTTAAATCAAGAAATAGCTTCTTAAGATCTAGAGATCCTTGCAGGAACACCTCAGCAAGCCAGAGTCCAAAAGTGGCAGGCAAAAACCTGGAACCTCAATCAGTGGCTGATACCAGATGAGAGACTCCCTCCTGGACATACAGAAGATTGGACGTCTTGGAACGTGCTGAACAGGCTGTGCTCTGGCACCATAAGATGCAGAGCTAACTTTAAGAAATGGGGGTACAAAGTGGAGTCCACAACATGTGTGTGTGGACAAGAGCAAACCACAGATCACTTACTACAATGCAACCTGAGCCTTGCCACATGCACAATGGAGCATCTTCTCACAGCAACACCAGAGGCACTCCAAGTGGCTAGCTTATGGACAAAGGACATTTAGCATAATGCCAAGTTTTTAACTTTGTGTTTTTAAATACATTTTAATTGTACCCTCCATTCACTTCTGACACAATAAATAAATGAATATTAATTACTAGAAGACTTACGAAGATTTGCCACTGCCAGTTGGCCCCAGAATTGCATTCAGACCAGGTCTCATTATGCCACTGTAAAATAAAAATAGCCCGTTCAACACGATCAATTTCATCACTGGAACATTACATCTGTGAATCAAAAACTATCACATTTCAAGTAGATTATTTAAAAAAGCACCTTTTGACTGAAAAGGTGGAATCTGGAAAGTAACATAATACCAATAATCAGAAGACTTGGATGTTTGTACAAGCCTTTGAGAATGTCTAGTCCCAGTGGTCTGCAATTTAATGCCTCAGCACTGCACTTTCATCCCATGCCCGAGTTCATTAGCTAAAATTTGCACTATCCTATACCCTGCTCTTATTTACAGTTGGTTATGTTTTATGACAGTTCTCTTAATAGGTTATGGGGTGCTTAAACACTGTTTTATTTGCCTTTGGTTTTATTTTGTATTGTATTGTGTGTTTATTTTTATGCGTTGTTTTAGGCACACTGTGCCATATGTAAGCCACCCCGAGTCCCTTTGGGGAGATGGGGGAGGGGTACAAACATAAAGTTGTCGTTGTTGTTATTGTGTATACAAAAAATCTATATTGTCTTTTAAAATATTTTCATATACTGTGAAAAGCAATGAAGGAAATAAGCAAAGAGTTCCGGCAGCCATAGACCCACAGATGTGAAACGTTAACATTAATTTTGTGACACGTTGTGGTTTGAGAACGACTGCTTTCATAACACATTGTTTCAGTTTATGTAAGTACATATTATGGAACAGTCTTCAGGGAGTGACCCTTTCACCTCTCACACAATAAGAGCTACGTAATTCAGCTAGCATACAATAGTATTTAAACGGAAGTATTTAAAAGTATTTTAAATACGGAAGTATTTAAAAGAAAAGCGGGAGCCCAGTTCAGAACAGCCTGACGTGTCATTATGACTTAGGGTGCATCTACATTGTAGAATTAATGCAGTTTGACACCACTTTAGCTGCCAGGGCTCAATGCTATGGAATCATGGGAGTCATAGTTTGGTGAGGCATCTGCAATCTTTGGCACTGAAAGCTAAAGAGGTTGTGAAACTACAGTTCTCATGATTCCACGGCAGTGAGGCATGACAGTTAAAGTAGTATCAAACTGCATCAATTCTACAGTGTAAATGCACCATGTAAGAAAAGGAATCAAGGAGCAATAATATGTGGAATCTTGAGGTTTACCATTTAACCTTTCGCTGCATCTACACCAGTGGTTCCCAATCTTTTTTTGACCAGGGACCACTCTCCAACATTAGTACCAAGAGGGTTACGAATCAGTTTCTGGTCAACTTTAGATTCGGTTTGGTTATTTGGGGTGCTGTTTCAGAAAATTGCACTGGATAGACCACATCAGATCTAGTTTCTGATACAGAACTTATGCCATCCAGTAGTCCCCATCTGCTTGCCTACAGAAAACTATATTTAATAAGCCTTGGCACTTAAAGTAGGTTTTGTGAGACCAGTCGCTCTCGTTACAACAATGTAGTAATGGTGAAGAAGTGGACCATGTTTTAGCTGTTGCGAACCACTGGTAGTCCATGGACCACAGGTTGGAAACCACTGATCTACACTGCCCCTGTTTCTGTAAATGTAACTGTTACATTTCCAGTTTCACACAACACAGGTAGCAGACTTGGATGGAGAAAAGGCAGTAATCCCAACATTTGACTTAAGGATTTAAGCCGGTGGTGCAGTGGGTTAAACCCCTGTGCCGGCAGGACTAAAGACCAACAGGTCGCAGGTTCGAATCTGGGGAGAGATGGATGAGCTCCCTCTACCAGCTCCAGCTCCTCGTGTGGGGACATGAGAGAAGCCTCCCACAAGGATGATAAAACATCAAAATCATCCGGGCGTCCCCTGGGCAACGTCCTTGCAAACGGCCAATTCTCTCACACCAGAAGTGACTTACAGATTCTCAAGTCTCTCCTGACACAGCAAAAAAAAAAAACCTTCAGGATTTGGGGAGTTTTAATCCAATAAGAAACTGTTAGATAACTACTGTTTCATAACTCATTATTTCAGCTTGTGTAACTTACATTACGGACTCTGGCGCAGGGAGTGAGTCTGTTACCTTTCACACACATGGCAGCACAACACAGTTAATTATTTATAACCATATTGAACGTTTATGGTTTCGTATGCTCAGAGACCAAAGGGAAGTCAAATACTGAGGCTGAACTCCAAACAAGGAACACACACGTGAAAAAGAGAACTGTGTCCTCAGAAAGAGCTTTGCTTACACTGGTCAGGTTTTCTAAGAGGTGGTAAAAGTTACATGTTTGTGTCATGAGCAGCTAGTGGTCAGGCTGTCTGGGGATTCTGGGAGATGTAGTCCCAAAAGATAGCATTTCCAAGTTTTAGGTTTTTCACTCTATTTTCTGGAGAGATGAGCATATTTCAAATTGGGCAGCAGTTTATCTGTTTGGGGTTGCTTGAGGAAAGATGACAGGCAGTCTGGTACCAAACAAAACAGATTTATCATTAGCAAAGTAAGTTGTCTTAGAATAGTGTTTCTCAACCTGGGGGGTGTCAGAGGGGTCACCAAAAACCATAAGAAAATACAGTATTTTCTGCATTGTTAAAGGCTTTCATGGCTGGAATCACTGGGTTGTTGTAGGTTTTTCAGGCTATATGGCCATGTTCTAGAAGCATTCTCTCCTGATGTTTCACCTGCATCTAGGGCAGGCATCCTCAGAGGACCTCACAGCCTCTGAGGATGCCTGCCATAGATGTAGGCTAAACATCAGGAGAGAATGCTTCTAGAACATGGCCATATAGCCTGAAAAACCTACAACACAATATTTCCTGTTGGTCATGGGGTTCTGTGTGGGAAGTTTGGCCCAGTTCTATCATTGGTAGGGTTCAAAATGCTCTTTGATTATAGATGAACTATAAATCCAGCAACTACAACTCCCAAATGTCAAGGTCTATATTCCCAGAACTCCTCCACATTTGGGCATATTGAGTACCCATGCCAAGTTTGGTCCAGATCCATCATTGTTTGAATCCACAGTGTTCCCTGGATGTAGGTGAATAACAACTCCAAAACTCAAGGTCAATGCCACCAAATCCAGTATTTTCTGTTGGTCATGGGAATTCTGTGTACTAAGTTTGGTTCAATTCCATTGTTGGGACATGGGATAAGCCTCCCACTGGATGGTAACACATTCAGGTGTCTCCTGGGCAACATCTTTGCAGATGGCCAATTCTCTCACACTAGAAGCGACTTGCATTATAGTCAGGGGCGGCTCAACCCATTACACAAAGTGAGCATTTGCAGTATAGTTTATTTTACCCAGGGGCACTCTTGAGGCACTCTTGGGGGAAAATAGACCTTGTCATATGCGAGGTGTAGTTACTGGGATGTATAGTTCACCTACAATCAAAGAGCATTCTGAACTCCACCAATGATGGAATTGAACCAAATATGGCACACAGAACTCCCACAACGAACAGAAAATATATATCAGTGATTGGTTGGGGTGGGGGTGGGCCGGGGGCAAAATACTGTTTGCTTACCGTTGAAAATTACCTAGGGCTGCCTCTGATTATAGTCTCAATTCGCTTCTGACACAATAGAAAAATAGGTGAAGGTAAACTAGAAATTGTAATTATCATTTTAAAAGAAATCTAGTGGACAAATAGATTGAAAAATACATACTTGATATCCTTCAGAATGTCTTTTTCAACTGTTTTTCGACAACAGAGAAAACCGCTCTTCATCTTTACTCTGTAGTAGATGTTGTGAAAAGTCACAGTGGTGGCCCTCATTGAGCTCCTGGTAGACAACTTCCTGCATGGAACCCCATTTGTATTGGGCTCCGTCATCGTGATGTTGACTTGTGGGTTGTGAGCCATCTTTCTGGAGCAGCTTTACTTCTGTGGACCATTAAAAAATAAGGATAATAGATTAATGAACAATGTTCAGGTAAAGATATTTGCACACCACACCTCATTAATGGGAGGAGGAATTCCTTGTGTCCTGGGCAACAGGAGGAGGGGTGAGAGTAGCGACTAAGATTAGTGTTTGAACTAATGACAACTATATATTTGAAAAATGAGAGAAAGCTGGTCTTGCTTTGTAGGAGAATAAATCGAGCTCAACTACCACCACCCCTCTTATACAGCATATTTGACAGACAACTTATAATTACCTCCAGCAACAATCTTAGCCATCCATCTTGCGCTTCACCCAATTTTTCAGCTTTCAAGTTTTCTTTAAACATGTTTTTGGCATTTCATGAGGCCCCAGAAGTTTCTAGGGGCAGAACATTCACTCTCAGGTTCATCAGAGCTTCCCACTCCCCATTTAAAAATCAACTAACATTGAATTTATTTACAAAAAGAAGAGAAAGATTAGGGGGGGAAATCTAGGGATGAAGAAAGATTTTTAAAGTGTTATCCCATCAACACTGTTCATAGACAGCTTTTGCTGCAGAGGGAACCAATGAACTTCCTTGATCTTAATCCTGGACATTATAGATCTGGGTATTGCATGTTGAATTCACTTCTGCTGCATGTTTGGTGCACAATACTGTGAGCAAGCATGAATTTCCAGATTATAGCATGTTTGTTTATTTATTAATTATTTATATACAACTTTTCTACCCCACCTTTATCCACCCTGGAGGAAACGCAAGGCAGCTTACACATAGGCAACTATTTGATGCCATAAAACAATCTACAATTTGTCATATGGTCTGCAGTTGATGGTGGTTGGTGATGGAAGGGTTAATGTGAGTATTAGTTCTAGAGGGTTTGGTGATCTGTAAGTGGGAGTTCATGGGTGAAAGCAATTAGGGGTGGAGGTGTGCAGGAGATGAGTTGCAGCTGGGTGTTACTGGATCTAAGGAGCTAACCTTGGGACTGATCTTTGGGAGAAAAGTATCTGTTGTATTTTGGTGGTGGATGCTGTTGGTTTTTCCCCCAGGTCTGTTGGATTTTTCAGTATCGTGACCTGTCTCCTGTAATCTTGGAATCCTGGAACCTTGAACCTTTGGACTGGCTTTTGACTACGGTATAGACTCTTGATCTGTGGACTTTGTTTATTGAACTCTCAGCATTTGACCATTGAACTGGACCCTTTTGACTACGAAGTTATTTTTGCTATCAGTTTTTGTTTATTCTGTAGCTGCATGCTATCTTTGTGTTTTATATTTTGGACTATAAAAACAGCCAGCAAGTAAGTGCTGTTTTAATTAAACTTTTTGTTAAAACTGGGAGTTTGATTCATCTCTATCCAAACAAGGTAGAGCCCTGGCAACGTGACACAATTAAAATAAACATTTAAATCGAATAAGACAATATCTTAACAATTAATCACGTAATCCTCCAGCGTAATCCGGGCTGTTCCAATAGTCATTGTAAATCATTCCATTTCTATCTATTCCACAAAGGCTTGGTCACAAAGCTATGTTTTCACTCTCTTGCAGAAGGTCAGAAAGGAGGGGGCTGATCTAATATCCCTGGGGAGGAAATTCCACATCCGAGGAGCCACCACTTAAAAGGTCCTGTCTCTTGTCCCTGCCAATCACACCTGCGAAGGAGGCACGACCGAGAGCAGGGCCTCCCATGACAATCTTAAACTGCAAAATAATTCATAGGGTGATATCCATTCAGACAGGTAAGCTGGTATTACTAGCACTGCAAGAAATACCATGTTCTCCTGATACAAGCAGTATAGCAGGTTGCAGATGTACTAAGCCCTTTCTACCAAAAAAATACACTATTGGAGGAAAGACCATTTGGAAGACAATTTACTACTTTTAAGAAATTATTCACATGATCTCAATTTCTGAATTATCTGTTAAGAGTTCTTTGTTCAGAAAGGATCTTGATCAGAAGCTCTCATTTGTTTTGTCACCTTCATCACCTATTTCTGTTCATCATGTTTCCAGCAACATACTCGAGTTCCTGGTTAGTTTCCATCCACTTCCCAACCTATACAATTTAAAGGGCAAAATAACACCTGCAACTTTCACATCATGCTCATCACTATAGGTGACATCTTGAGGCACCATGACTTGGTCCGTCTGCATTATCTTTTTAGAGGTCAATGCTGATTCAAGCATCTCTTCTACTAGCCTTTGGAAGGTGGGAAATTCTTCAAATGCTTGGCACCAAATGTGTCAAGGAGGAAGTATTGTCAGATGATGACCCAATGTCATCATACTGTGATACAACTGCATCACAAAGCTTGAATGGGAACACAAAGTAGACAAGCCTGGGTTAAACAAGAGGTCTCACTTGGAGTTGGAAGAAGGATGGGCTGGACTTTTTACAGAAATGTGTTTCCTTCCAGGAATAATCTATATCCAAGTATATCACAATGACAAGTTAACAAGCTATGTTTGTCCTTCTGTTCCCAAATTATACTGTATATAGCAGGCATGGCTGTTAGGAATTGTGGGAGTTGAAGTCCAAACACCTAGAGGGCTGAAGTTTGCCCATGCATGCTATATAGTCATGTATAAGTCTAGAAATGGTTGTAAAAAAATGATCCAAACCTGGATGACTTACCTATGGGTCAAAGTTAAATACACACAGACAAAACTCAGCAGGAACCCTATAAACTATGGTGCTGCTGATGGAAAAGGGCAAATCACACAATCTGAAGATGATTATCTTTTAAAGCAGCTACTCAAAACTCTGCACTATCTTTGCGGTCTGCAGATAGGTAGAAGTGGCTTCATTCACCCAGAATAACCCCAAAGCCAACAGATGGAAGAGTCAACCAAGTAAGCAACAGGAAGTAAAACTGAAAGAAATACAACAGTACTTGAATAAACTACAAGGTTGATGTGTGACCTTTGGTACTCTCTCCTGATTAATTAAGGAATTCCTGATAAATGCCAGTGCTTTTGAATGCCGAGGCAACCATGGGCCAAGCTGAAAGTGGGGGAAATTCAGGCACAACTTTCTCAAAATATAATGCTTGCCTCTCCCCTTGAATCCCATCTTGAGGTTTATTTGTCTCAGTTGGAAAGAAAGAGGAAAGCACATGAACAAGTTGTCTGGAAGAGTCAGCATTTACTAGTACGCTTCCCTCTAACTATGTACTGAGGGGCCCTCGGAGACCAACACCTTTCTGGGAAGGATCTGCAGGGCAAGGCAAGGGAGAGAAACTGGTTCTGGACTGCTTTGTTTTGTGCTTGTTGCGGTCTTTTCAAATCCTTGTCTTAAATTTTTTTCAGAACATTAGTTAATATTTGTACAGACTCCAAACTGCAGCATGCCCAATTGCATCTTTGCGATGGCCCTTTGGATCCCATCCTCCCCCCAATGACCACAGAAAATGTAGGAGACAAAGAAACTGGCAAGATTTAGGACCTTTTCAGTTCTGTGCTTTTATTAACACTACATATTTGTAGCACTATGATTCCACTTTTACATCTACTGCAACATTTGTGTTTGATGTAGCAATTGTGCTCTTTGGCTGAGAATAGCAAATGTCCCTCCCCAATCTTCACATCCCAAGATTACATCAAACATTACCATGGCAGTTATTGAGGGATCGGAACATTATAACTATATAGTATAAGGCCTTTTTCTCTTTCTCCAAGTGGTAAAGAAATCGAAACTGGTCTTAGTGGCTCTCAGTTCTTAATTTCCTAATTGTATTCCTTTGTTGTGATCATTGTGGTTTCAATTCCTTTTCTAGCTCTATGAGATTATTTTTTTCTGCATCTGTATGATAACTTGGAGAAAGTCAAACCTTCATATTATTATTTTAAGTAGATTTTTTTGTGTGTCAGGAGTGACTTGAGAAACTTCAAGTCACTTCTGGTGTGAGAGAATTGGCCGTCTGCAAGGACGTTGCTCAGGGGATGCCTGGATGTTTTGATGTTTTACCATCCTTGTGGGAGGCTTCTCTCATGTCCCCACATGGGGAGCCGGAGCTGACAGAGGGAGCTCATCCATGCTCTCCCTGGATTCGAACCTCCGACATGTCGGTCTTCAGTCCTGCCGGCACAAGTGTTTAACCCACTGTGCCCCCGGGGGGATTTGGTATGGTTATGTCTAGATTCAACATTTAAAGAACTAGCAGGGATAGCTAACTGTGTTTTCACCTAGATTGCCATTCTAAAAAAAAAAAAACATTGTCAAGTGTATGCATGTCAATCTAGAGTACAAAAGGATGCTGTCGAAAGAAAGGAGAACAAGATGAACATTGTTTTCGATAACAATATGAGAAGTGGTAAGGTAAGGTCCTCAGATAGAAAAATATGGAAATTGTCACATGTGAATCTGTTGATGGACTGGATTCTTGTTCATTTATTTATTTTCTAAATATTTTATCTTGTCAGTCAGCAGGGTAAAATAAAATACTAATATTGCTGGTGAGGGGAAGAGAACAGAAAAAGCAAAAGTAAACAGTATTCACAGTGCAATCCTATATTTGCCTGCAACTCTATGCATGCCATTGAGCTCAATTAGACTTAATGACGACAGTGTACAAAAGACTGCAACATCAATTAGCCAAGTGCTCTTCAAAGCAGAAAAAAATTAGCCAGATTTCTAAATTACTTTGCTAAAACGACCAATACGAATCTCAACAAGTGTTACACTGCACAGGAAATTTGCCATCACATAAAAAAACATGATTGTCATAAACATAAGCCAACAATTGGGCCTCGTAGGGCGATCTTGGGAAACAATTCATACACAAAGTACAATAGAGTATTGCTTATTCAACGTAACATTGGATAAGCGAAAATGTTGGATAATAAAGAGAGATTAAGGAAAAGCCTATTAAACATCAAATTACATTATGATTTTACAAAATAAGCACCAAAACATTGTGTTTTACAACAAATTGACAAAAAAAGCAGTTCAATACATGGTAATGTTATGTAGTAATTACTGTATTTACGAATTTAGCACCAAAACATCGCATGGTATTGAAACAGCTGTGGATCCAAGCATACCTCGTTGGATTATATAGAACGTTCAATGAGCAGGTTGGATAAACGAGACTCTACTGTAGTACCATAAATTATCTCCTTGATATATCTTGATATAACCCAATTATTTAGCAAAACAATCTGAGCAAGGAAGAACCATTTGCTTGTGCTCAATGTTACATAACTAAAGGATACAGGGAATGTACATACATTAGTATCTTCTACAGATTATCTCTAATCTCGTTTTTATTTTTAAAAAGTCATTTTCAATATGTTTGAAAAAAATTCAAACTTCTAAAAAAGGAAAATCTTTGTGTAAGCTCTAATTCTGGAAGTAAAAAATGTGCTGAGTTTGCATGCACTTTGTTACACAATTTTATGTGTCGTTCTGAGTCACCAATCTGCACTTAATTAATTTAGTGGGCCTCTGAGTTACAACAAAAGCAAATTAAAATTACATTTTTAGGAGGAGGAGACTACAATTCTGAATACCTCAGTAGGATCCAAAGAAGTAAATTTTCTAATCTGTTGAGAGACCCCACAAGTCGAAAGTCTGTCCACTCATTATCCTGACGACTAAAAAAAGCACACTGTTCATCAGTTTTCAATGTCACACAGCACTTTTCTATCTAAAAATGCACAGTCAGTGGATAGACGAAATGCCCTGATCTTAGTTCTTATTTTAAATGGACCTAAGTGCAATTTCTATATCATTCCAGACTACGACGCTATTGATGTTTCTTTGGTGTTGGGTTCAGCTGCGTTCTAAAGTAAATGTGAGCAAAAATCTCATGGTGAGTTTCCACAAGCGATATTCACAATACCTTTGCACACTTTCTTGAGAGATAAATTCTCCTGAAGCCCCTACATCTGAATCAAAAAGTAATGTATTTGTATACATTACATTTGTATACATTATTTGGGAGCAGTCTTATGTAGGGTTGAAAGTAATTTTCCAATTCAACACGCATTCAATGACATTCTTATGTCTGGATTAATAATGTCAATAATATTGAAAACGGGGAATGCTTTTCCTGACTGTTTTCACTGTGTGGTTAATTAAAAACTTTTTTTAAAAAAAGCTTTCGGAATATGTATTGGTGAAGGTTTTCATGGCCAACATCACTGGGTGAGTTTTTCGGGGTGTATGGCCATGTTCCAGAAGCATTTCCTCCTGACATTTTGCCTACATCTATGACCTCACAACCTCTGAGGATGCCTGCCATAGATGCAGGCAAAATGTCAGGAGGGAATGCTTATGGAACATGGCCACACAGCCTGAAAAACTCACAGAGACCCTTTCGGAATATGCTTTATTCATAATATTTAATGTTTTTATCTATTATATATTATTTCACACACTCCTTGGCCAAGAGATGAAAAACAAATACTTCATAGGTATCAATTAATGTCATTTAAGTCACATTTCCTATTTCTAATCCAACATACATTTTCATACCTACATTATTTAGACAAAAAAAATCCCTTTTGAGAAAAGAAGTCCTGTGTTTGGGAGAGGGGAGCAGAAAAATGAAAAAAAGGGAAATTACATTATTTTGCAAACCTTCTAATGAATTGTCAAAATCACTTCTGAATGTTCCTTGCCTAAGAAAACCCTATGATATCAATAGATTATAAGTAATGGTAGTAATAATAACAGTAATAGGTCATAAATAGTTTTTTAAAAATTGTGTCAAAAACGACTTGAGAAACTGAAAGTCGCTTCTGATGTGAGAGGATTGGCCATCTGCAGGGATGTTGCCTAGGGGATGCCTGGATGTTTTACCATCCCATGGGAGGCTTCTCTTATGCCCCCGCAAGGTTGGGGCCTGTCTGATGTCTTTAGGGAGTGAGTTCCAGAGTCGAGGGCCACCACCGAAAAGGCCCTCTCTCTCGTCCCCACCAATCGCGCCTGCGATGCTGGTGGGATCGAGAGCAGTGCCTCCCTGGATGATTGAAGGGATCGTGTGGGTTCGTATACAGATATGCGGTCACGCAGGTAGGCGGGTCCCAAACCATTCAGGGCTTTGTAGGTAAGAACCTGCACCTTGAATTGGGTCCAGGAGATGAATGGCAGCCAGTGGAGCTCCTTGAACAGGAGGGTTGACCGCTCCCTGTAAGGCACCCCAGTTAGCAACCTGGCCACTGCCTGTTGGATCATCTGAAATTGCCGGGCCGTTTTCAAGGGCAGCCCCACATAGAGTGCATTGCAGTAATCCAGTCTAGAGGTGACTAAGGCGTGGACCACTTTGGCCAGATCCGCCTTCCCAAGGTACGGTCGCAGTTGGCGCACAAGTTTTAGTTGTGCAAAGGCCCTCCCGGCCACCACCGATGCCTGAGCCTCAAATGTAAGTGAAGAATCCAGGAGGACCCCCATACTGCAGACCTGCGACTACAGGGGGAGTGCAACCCCATCCAGCACAGGTTGCCACCCTATACCCCGGTCTGGTTTACGATTGACCAAAAGGATCTCTGTCTTGTCAGGATTAATCTTTAGCTTGTTCGTCCTCATCCAGACAGCCACAGCGGCTAGGCACTCGTCCAGCACTTGAGAGGCTTCCTTGGAATTTGGTGGAAAAGAGTAGTAGTGTGTCATCTGCATAGAGATGGCACCCAACTCCAAAACTCCGGATGACCTCTCCCAGCGGTTTCATGTAGATGTTAAAAAGCATGGGAGACAGAAGGGAGCCTTGCGGGACCCCACAGGTCAAAGGCCAGGGGTCCGAGCAGGCACCTCCCAGCTTCACCATCTGGGACCGACCCTCCAGGAAGGACCGGAGCCACAACAAAGCCGTACCTCCAAGGCCCATCCCGGAAAATCATCCCAGAAGGATACCATGATCGATGGTATCGAAAGCCGCTGAGATGTCCAAGAGAACCAATAGGGTCACACTCCCCCTGTCCAGCTCCCTGCGGAGATCATCCACCAAGGTGACCAAAGCCATCTCGGTACCATGGCCAGGTCTGAAGCCAGGCTGAGACTGATGCAGATATCATCCAGGAAGCCCTGGAACTGAGCAGCAACCACCTGCTCCAACACCTTGCCCAGGAAAGGGAGGTTTGAGATTGGTCTATAGTTATTCAAGACCGTGGAATCAAGGGAAGTCTTTTTCAGGAGTGGACTGACCACAGCCTGTTTTAAGCCTGATGGAAAAATTCCTTGCTCCAGCGATATATTGATGATTAACATAAACCAATCAATCAGACCATCCTTGGCCGATTTAATTAGCCAAGACGGGCAAGGGTCCAGAGCCGATGTAGTAGCTCTCACTGCCCCAAGGACAAACAAACCGGAAGGAATCCCACAAAACCGGACAAGCAGATGCCTCGGTCACCTCAACTATAAGTTGGCAGGTGTCATAAAGACACCCACATACACACAGTAGAGGTAAAGGTAAAGGTTTTCCCCTGACATTAAGTCCAGTCGTGTCCTACTCTGGGGGTTGGTGCTCATCTCCATTTCTAAGCCGAAGAGCCGGTATTGTCTGTAGACATCTCCAAGGTCATGCGGCCAGCATGACTGCATGGAGCGCCGTTACCTTTCTGCCAGAGCTGTACCTATTGAAAACATTTGCATGTTTTCGAACTGCTTGGTTCTCAGAAGCTGGGGCTAACAGCGGTAGCTCATGCTGCTCCCCAGATTCAAACCTTCGACCTTTTGGTCAACAAGTTCAGCAGCTCAGCGGTTTATCCCACTGCGCCGCCGAGGGCTACTAATCAAAACCTATTGCTATTATTATTCAGTAAGAGTTATCATCACCCATAGAATAATTAATTCCTGCAGATTTTAAATAAATAAGGCCAGGTAGAAACTCAGTAAGAACCTAATACTTACCAAACTAAAGTGCTAACTATTCAAAAGTTAAGCAAGTATTGAAAAGCTGTAGATAGTTTCACATAACTTTTGATTTGACCCATTTTATCCCATTATACTGATTTGTATATTTCTTTGGAAAACTAAATATTCTAGAGACACCAGGTTCTGACTGATTGTGAATCTAGGAAAAGTCAGCTCTGGTTAGTATGTACTTGGATGAGAGAGTCCCCCTCCATGGACTGTCACCTTGCCATGGTGAGGGGGCTTGCATGTTCCAATGAACCTGCGAGTGTAACCACCGGAGTCATGTACTCCCAGGAGCCACAGGAGAGAAAGACCAAGAACAATCTGAAGACCCAAAGATCTCAATGGCAGAACAGTCAGAGGATAACATGGTATATGTTACAACAGCTGTGAAGGCGGAAGAAGGCTGCAACAAATTGAGAAGCCACCATTGTCATGTTAACCACGCCACTGGTTGGGACCTCACTCTTTGAAGACTGTGTATTGATCGGCTGTACACCGACCTCCACACATTAAAAAAACTCATGCACAGGCATCTTCCAAGAAAAAAAGTAAGTAAGTAAATAAGGATGAGAGACTGCTGCCAATTAATATTAGACGCCGTAGGCTATATTTCAGAGGAAGGAATTTGCAAAACCACTTCTGAATATTCCTTGCCTAACGTTCATTGGGTCACCCTAAGACAATGGGCAGCTTGAAGGCACATACCGATATGTACATATGTCTATCATTTCAAATCATGCTCACTCAAAGCTAGTATCTTTAATTAACTAGTTGTGAGTCTTTCCTCCCTTGATCTGGTGAAGTGTAATTATAAAACTTTCCCTTTTCATTAGAGCAGCATGAAAAGGCAAGAAGTAACAGGCCAGTTGCACAAGCCGCTGGCTTGTTATCAGCACAGAACACTAACTGCAAACCCACAAGTTCTGTTGCCCGCCTATGTGCAACTGTAATTCTCCATTCACAGAGAACCACAACCGCAAAAAATAATAACAACCACGGCTAAAAGGAAGACAGAAAAAGAGAAGGTAGAAGACAGTTCCGAGGGTTGATTTTGAACTTACCAGCTACAGAGAATAAGAAAGAATGAGATGCCAGCAGAATAGGATGCCAGAGGCAAAACCAGATCCAGTTGGAGCAGGAGTTCGATTCTAGTATCTTGGAGAGTTTGGAGAAAGGCAGAGTTGTCCTTTTGAGAGGGGCATCCAAGGGCCACTTTCTGTGACTTGCAGGGCTACCCTATTCAGACTTCGCTCCTTCTCCGTCTGTCATCCAGACAACTGCTCTTGCAAAGGCTTTGTACTGGAGGTTGTTCACCCCTCCCATTTCCAGATGCAATTATTGAAGGGGTGAAAGTTCTCTTTTTAGGGAGGGGCAAACACAGAAGCACGCTTCTCCCTTGACTTTTTGTTTGAAGAGCTGACAATGCTGGCAGGAACCACCCGCTGCTCTGTGGCAGAAGGAAACACTTTGGTCCTATTGCCAAGCTAGAGACCAAATTTGCAGGATAGGTGGGGGGGGGGGGGCTGGGTGCATTGATTTGGGATGGAAGCCTGTACATGGGAAAGAATATTAAGGCTCAATGACTGGTCATATTTGACAATGCTTATGCAAACTTATTTCTTTGTCATCCTTGCCCTAGTTGGGTGTTCAGATGACTCATGGCACAAGGGAGAGGTCTGCCTTGTCATATATTCTGATATCTTCAATTTTCAATTTAGAAAGGGGTAGGTAAAGGTAAAGGTTTTCCCCTGACATTAAGTCCAGTTGTGTCCGACTCTGAGGTATTGTTTTGTGCTCATCTCCATTTCTAAGCCGAAGAGCCGGTGTTGTCCCTAGACATCTCCAAGGTCATGTGGCCAGTATGATTGCATGAAGCACCGTTACCTTCCCACCAGAGCGGTACCTATTGATCTACGCACATTTGCATGTTTTCGAACTGCTAGTTGACAGAAGCTGGGGCTGACAGTGGAAGCTCACGCCACTCCACAGATTCGAACCTGTGACCTTTTGGTCAACAAGCTCAGCAGCTCAGTGGTTTGACCCACTGTGCCACCGGGGACTCCTAGAGAGGGGTAGCAAGATGTAAAAACCAGCATGGTACAGTGCTTTGACTAGAAAACAAGGTTTGAATCGCTGTTTGGCCATGGAAACCCACTGGGTGACCTTTAGGGTCACCATAAGTCAGAAATGACTTGAAGGCACACAACAGCAACAGCAATCTGGAATTATCATAGAGAGCCATCTAAAACTACAAATCTTAGGATTTCATAGGATGTTGCTATGACCATTTATTTATTTATTGTGTCAGAAGTGAACTGAGGGTACAGTTATAATGCATTTCAAAACACAAGGTTAAAACTTGGCTTTATGCTAAATGTCCTTTGACCAAAAGCTGGCCACTCGGAGTGCCTCTGGTGTCGCTGTGAGAAGGTCCTCCACTGTGCATGTGGCAGGGCTCAGGTTGCATTGTAGTAGGTGGTCTGTGGTTTGAAATGGAAGCATCGTACTTCTGCTGTGTGGTGTGGACAGATACATGGAATGTGGAATGAGTGCTACTTTTCCCCCCACTTCAGACAGCAAATTGCCAACTCAAGCATATAAATATGTTTGGATCATGCAGTGTTTGCTAGAAACAAAGAAAGGCAGAAGTTTGAAACAAAGCAACGTTCTGAATAATGAATTGCTGACTCAAGACCAGAAAAAGAACTTCTCTTGGAAAATGAGGTTCTGTTTTCTAGAAGAAATGTGTCTTCATATTATGACTCAGGGCCCTTCCACAAGCCCTATAACCCAGAATATCAAGGCAGAAAATCCCACATTTTCTGCTTTGAACCGGGATATATGGCAGGGTGGACTCAGATAACTCAGTTCAAAGCAGATATTGTGGAATTTTCTGCATTGATATTCTGAGATATAGGACTGTGTGGAAGGGCTCATAAAGACAGTCTCCAAGTTACAAATAAAATATAGGTTCGGTAGGTTTGCTCTTAAGTTAAATTTGTATGTAAATCAAAACAGGTACAAGTGTAACTCCAGCCATATATACATTATAATTGGATTTTGAGATATATATTTATATTTCAAAATCCATTTTTCAAAATCCAATTAGCACATGGAGAGAAAGTGAGGTGAAATATTCTGAACACAGGAGAGACAGCAAAACAAACACCACAGGGGTGATAACTCCTATGCTGTCCTGTTCAGAACATTTAACTTCACTTTACATCCCTGTGATAATTGGATTTTAAAAAATATGACTTCTTGTGGAAACAATGATTGGTGATCAACCTTCAGTAGAGACACCTTTTCTCCATGATAACTCCTTCAGGAGTGAATTTATCTTCCTAGGGGTAGATTTCTCTCACTTCCTGTAGTTCTTAATGAGTCGTTTGTAAGTTGAATGTTTGTAACTCAGGGGCTGCCTGTATTCTCTTAAGAACCTCATATCTCAGAGCTCCTTAGCTGCAACTTACTAATGTCATTTTCTGTGTAAATGCTGAAGACCTAATGGTTCTGTGGCACTATAAGAACAAGGGATGTTGTGACCCAGTGTTTCTCACTGAGTCTAGTAACCCAAATACACACACACACACGTATGTATGTATGTATGTATGTATGTATGTATGTATGTATGTATGTCCCTCCAGCATGCCAGACAGAACTGACATTAGAATAGACTCTTTAGACAAACTGGTATCAAAGTGCTTTATCTAAAGAGAAGAGCCCCCAGTGGTGCAATGGGTTAAACCCTTGTGCTGGCAGGACTGCTGACCAACAGATCAGTGGTTAGAATCTGGGGAGAGCGGGTTGAGCTACCTCTGTCAGCTCCAGCTCCCCATGCGGGGACACCCCCCACAAGGATGGTAAAACATCAAATATTTGAGTATTCCCTGGGCAACATGCTTGCAGACGGCCAATTCTCTCACACCAGAAGCAACTTGCAGTTTCTCAAGTCACTCCTGACAAGAAAAAAAATCTAAAGAGAATCTCACTCCAGTAAAGTCAACAAGGCCAACCCAAAACATTTCTGCTCCCTGAGACAAAATATGAAATGACATAATGTTACATCTATATAAATAAAATGCAATGTTTGTTTGTGGGATTAACATAACTCCAAAACCACTGGATGAATTGACACCCAATTTGGACACAGTACACCTATCAGGCCAACGAGTGACCATCACTCATAAAAGTACTGAAAACACAGCAAAAGAGGCTTAAAAAGCCAAAAAAACAAAAATTGCATTACAACGCATGCGCAAAACTAATATATATACGCAAACACATATATACACATATACACAAATATATACACACAAGTATACGCACACACACACACACATATATATATACACACACAGAAAACACATATACACAGACTAGGCCACAGCAATGCGTGGCGGGGATGGCTAGTAAGCTATAAACATAGTGTGTCCCTTTGTATAGTAATGTAATGCCCTGGAAGGCTGATAGAAAGGTGTGGAATGCCTATGATGAAGTGTATTTGCATAAGGATGGAAACAAATTAAGAGATGAAGAACTTTATCAGAGGAAGCAAACAAATCACGCATGCAGCAAGGCTTATCACATGGAGTTGTCCTTTTCTGTTCTTGGGGAGGGGCGAGACCATTGAACCGTTTTTATATAACTGAGGTATTTTCATATTTTTAATGCTTAAATTTACAAATTGATTCATTATTCGTAATTATATCTTTATATTTTGTGTGTGTGTTTTTAATATGTTGCTAGACAACTTGCATCCCATCATTAGGAGAAAGGCAGAATTTAAATATAAATAAGTACAATAAAAATTTAAAATGGACAGATATTTGAGTTTATAAATGAAATGCTTTCTGGAGCATATAGAGCTGCGGTGGCGCAATGGGGTTAGACCAGGGGTCCTCAAACTTTTTAAACAGAGGGCCAGGTCACAATCCCTCAAACTGTTGGAGGGCCAGATTATAATTTGAAAAAAAACATGAATTAATTCCTATGCACACTGCACATATCTTATTTGTAGTGCAAACAATACAATAATTAAAAATGAAGAACAATTTTAGCAAATATAAACTTATTAGCATTTCAATGGGAAGTGTGGGCCTGTTTTTGGCTGGTGAGATAGGATTGTTGTTGTTGTTGTTGTTGTTGTTGTTGTTGTGTGCTTTCAAGTCATTTCTGGGCCTTAATTTGAGGACCCTTGGGTTAGACCCTTGTGCTGGCTGGACTGCTGACCTGAAGGTTGGGTTGCTGACCTGAAGGTTGCTGGTTCGAAATCCACAAGATGGGGTGAGCTCCCGTCTGTCAGCTCTAGCTTATGCGGACATGAGAGAAGCCTCCCAATAGGATGGTAACACATCCAGGCATCCCCTGGTCAACGTCTCTGTAAACGACCAATAATCTCACACCAGAAGAGACTTGCAGTATTTTCTCAAGTTGATTCTGACATGATAAAAAAAGGGAGAAATACATTGATATGTGAACTTCTACCAAAAATCTTTATTACTGTGGATGTTTTGCAATGGTAACAAAGTGTTGATGTGCTGGAGGATGGTAAGGAGCTGGATATAGCATCACACATTTGTAACTAATAAAATATCCATGGTGACTTTCAATAGAGATTAGAGATTAAATAGATGGAAGGTGAGAATCAAATAGCTCGGCTAACTAAAACTCCTAGCATGCTTGACGGTTTGCTGTGCTTTCTAGGGCTGCTGGAAATGGCAGCCCAATAACATTTGGAAGTCTGTTCCTGAATCAGAGCGTGAAAGTTACAGGTTTTATACACTGGAAGAAGTGAGAGCTGTGACTGATAGAGATGCTGGCAGCAGAAAAGACCTACAAGAAGAATTTGTGTTTATTAAATATATTAAATGTATATATTAAATGTATATTAAAACATTAATTGTGCTTGTTATGTGTCTCAAAGTCATTTCCAACCTATAGTAATTCTATCACAGGGTTTTCTTAGCAAAATTTGTTCAGCAGAGGTTTGCCATTCTGTGTCTGAGAGTGGAACTTGCCCAAGGTCACTCAATGAGCCAAGATTTGAACCCTGTTCTCCAGAGTCGTAGCCCATCACTTGGAACACTACATCACATGTATGTTTAAATATGTTTGCCATGATATGGAGCAAAGGGACTTCCAGTGTCCTCTGCCCCCATCGCCTGCCCTCCACCACATCTTCTGCTTCAGCTCCACCCTCATAATAAATATACCTGCTCCCATCATCGCATCCGGCTATAGTCAAGCAGCCAGAAATTAAGGTCCTTAAACAAAGGGAACTAAAACAAGCTAAAGAACACCACTTTTCCTGTTTTCAAAACAAAGCTTCCTTGTCGATTTTCCAGATTGCACAAGGAATCATGCAGGAAGGGGAGCATGTTATTCTTTAGCACTGGTCC